TAGGATTCTAGTGATTTCAGAGATTTGATTCAAGCAATTCTAGCAATTCTGGCACAATTGGCTGAGAATGTCCGGCGCCAGCAGATCTATCTGGGTATTGATGCTCCCGAGCTTTTCTTCTATCATCTCTTGATAAGATGTCTCCAAAGACAATGCCAGTGCCAAGGTTAGTCCCGACCATTCCGAATGCTAACTGGCTGATCAGACATGACCTCATTTTCATACATGGGACGGAAGACTACGGTGGACATACTGAAGTTTTTCCAAGCTGTGGAGAAGGGTCCTAGCGTGTACAGCACGAACCGGAATCTTGATATTCGGTTCATGACTGGGACCACTGGGGCTGCGTTGCAGCCCCAGCTGGTTACCTATATGTCAGCAAGCAAAGAAAAGCTACTGGTGCGTATATCAACACCCGAGTGTTCATGGGAGGTCCATCTTACAATTTATGGTGTGCGCTCATTCTAGCCTATGCTCGTGATGAAGAGGCTCTCAACGTGCTGAAATGTGTCGACTACGACAGGCCAGACAGTCTGCTCCAATTTCTCAAAGAGGGAAAGAAGCTGTAAAAGGTTTACCTTAGAGCCTCTATATTCGACGATGGCAACTCGCTAGATGACAAAGATATCAGATCAGATTTGCTGCTCGATCTTTTGTGGAGTCGCTTGCTCAGGTGTGCGTCGTCGTCTTCTGTGCATTCATACAAAGCAAGCTGCGCAAAGAGCTTATAAAGGAGACTGCTCCGCCTCAATTCAGCGTTTGCGGAGGGTATACGGTAAGTGCCTGTTTTGGAAAACTGATTCACCGAGCTGTTTTGCTAGAGAAAGGAACTAGTTGCCTGCATTGGCATGTACCTCGAAACTACGGAGGTGTACACTCCTACAGAGACAGATACTTGGGTGGTTAAGGACCTCATGTTACTCAAGTCTTCATGTCTTTCGGTCAGCTGTCCAGCCATCTCAAGGATATCAATTCCGCACTTCGGGTGCTCAAGAGCAATCACTACTCAAAGAAGCCGGCCGAGGACGTCTGTCCAGAGTGCAAGTTTGCTGAAACCTGCAGGGAGGATAAGTGGATAAGCTGTACTTACTGTAACGTCTGGTTTCACTGGCTCTGCACCACTGCTACTGAGGAAACTTGCGAGTTGTGGTTGTGTGATAACTGCCGTGCTCCTGGTAAGTATCAAACCTGTCTCTTGCTAACTTACACGCCTTCGCCTTCTGACGCCTCATTTTGCAGATGATGATCCCGATGTGGAATTGCCTCCACCAGTTTCGGATGCTGGTCGAAGGCGTGGAACATTTCAGAGGACACATTAATCTCTTTCTAGTCGGAGCTTCTTCCTTCTGTGCAAATGAGTTTAAATGTGCAAATCGGGGTCTGATTTGGCTACAACAACCTCAAACGTTACGTTATTTCCGTACTTAAAAGTAGTGATGTAATTGCCATTAAATAAAATCATCAGTAAAATAACAAAGCTCGAGGTGTCTTGTAAGGTATGGTCGCATTCTCTTCCTTGGTATGAAGAATTGCGGTATGAATGCATGGCCTGTTCACTGTAGTGCCAGGTGATCCAAGATATGGTCATTTTTTGGTTCGGTGCAGAAGCATGGCCAGTTATTACTTTTGAATTTTATAGCTGTTGGTGGAGATGGCGGTGGAAATGGCTGATGAAGAGCTGAGATGAAGAAGGGGAGATGGTGCCATCGATTGGGGCGCTTTGAAGCAGACTCTCAGGAGCAGACGCCCAGGAGATGTTGAGGCATCGACGTTTTCTCCTTCAAGGTCACAGCTCACAAGCACTGCTCCCAAGAGCTCCTCGTCATCACGTTGCTCGATCCTCTCATGCAAGACTTGAGGGCATGGCCTAGAGAGAGTGAGAAGAGGACTGTTGACACAAAGAAGCAATTCCCTGCACAAAACAACAAACATCCAGGTAGCAGCATTGACCTCGACTTGCTGTCGACACTAACCTTCTACGCCATCCCCTCTTTCCAGAAAGCAAATATTGTTACGGTGTCAATCCGTAAGAAGTACGGACAGACACCAGTACGCCAAAGACGCATCATTTTTGGTTGTACATTGACCAAAAATCTCATGAATAAAGATTCACACACAACAAGCAATAGCGAGATACATCATTAGGCGCATTAGGATGAGGAGATTGCTAGCTCAGGTAGTTAGGGTTGTAGTTGCAAACTAAGGAATGCTTCCTACGGAGATGGCAGTGCCACCTCTGCCCCCTCCTCTTCCTCCTCTTCCTCTTCATCCTCCAGCACCACCTCCAGTAGGACTGTCATAGGAGATTTGGCTCCGCTTAAACTCACAGCTTCCGAATTCTCAATTTGAAAGAGGAAAGTATTACCTCAATGAGCGTGGCAAATAATGGCGAATGATATTGAACCATCCTGCTGCTGCACAAATTGATCACGACCGATGGGCTGCACTGAATAGGAAGGCTTTAGGGAAATTTTTCGAAGCTTTGGATGCATGCGACCTGTGCAATGTTTCTAGATGTACAAAAGCTTGTGAAATCTGGAGCACACTGAAAGCAACCTATGAGCAACAAACTTTATCATATTGGGTTTATCTTCGCCGCAAACACTTCACGATGGCAATGTCTGAGACTGACCACCTCCCACATTGCTGCCGTTAAGGAGATCCTCGACGAATTGATGGCTGTTGAGGCACAGACGGAAGAAGAAGAAGAGTGCGAATATCTCCTTTCGACTCTCCCTTCATCTTTTGACACGGAGATCTAGTCTCTTCAACCATCAATTCCTGGAGGAAAATCTCTTTTGTACATCTGGAAACATTGCGCAGGTTGTGTGCATCCAAAGCTTGGAAAAATTTCCCTAAAGCCTTCCTATTCAATGCAGCCCAGCAGCAGGGTCTGGTTCAATATCATTCGCCCAGTCCATGTTCATCAAGGTAATACTTGATTTTCCTCTTCCAAATTGAGAATTCGGAAGCTGTGAGTTTAGACAGTCACTACTGGATCAAAGGAAGGCGGTGCTGGAGGACGAAGAGGAAGAGGAGGGGGCGGAGGTGGCGCTGCCATCTCCGTAGGAGGCACCCACAAATATGCCACCTCCACGTACTTTTATTCCACGTAGTTTCCATGCCCCTCCACACACTGCAAGCAACTGAGATGCTCCGCATCGAGCATGGCATCCACGGCTCCTCTCAAGCCCGGCAGCACAACTGTAGCCCCAAGCTTGAATAGGCACGCCACTCCCTCCTGCTCCTTGCTGTAGACTTCAAGGGAACAAGGTGCCTCCGAGACTACTTCAACTGCTGAGGGATGGCAGCTCTGTCTGCTGAGACAAAGAAAGAGTGGTCGCCAACTTTGTGGAAAAAACAGCATCTATATCTGCCTTACGTCCGAGTGAACAGCACTAGACACAGTAGAATGTTAGAAAATGCCGATGCAAGGCATTTGCTGCTCAGATTTGCTGCTAAGAGTTGCGTTCGATCGTATGTGCTTGTCCAGGGCAGGAGGAAGATCAATGCAGGTGCTTCAGTCTGTTTATCATTGTTTCTTGTTCTAACAACAAGTGAATATTTCTTTGGACAACATTGGTGCAGCTTTTCTTCCTCAATACACTGGTTTTGTTTGATCCATATAGTTTCCTAGGGGTAGGGTGTCAAGAGAGTGGGGCTTTTGGGAGAGTTGTGGTTTTCAGCTTCCATTCACGAGGATATTCTCCAGAAAGAGCTGGGCAAACTTAATATCATGATGATCCAAGCAAGTAAGTTTCATTGATTGCTTGTCTTTGTTTCTTTTTTTGGCAGAGTTCCTGGTCAATCTTTGGAGGACTATTCTTTTGATTCCAACAAAAACCACACAAGCATGAAATAAGGTTGCATCCGGCCGACTAGACATGGATGTCGTATATGCGGCGAGCCAGGAGCTTGAATATGAAAGATGTTTCACTCTGCTTCTTGTACTTGAGGAAGTCTGCCTTGACCTCCTCTTCGTCCTCATCGTCAATGCGTGCCAGGCTTGCTGCCTCCTTTTCCGGTGAACTCTTGTGTGAGCCCACGAAGCACTCCCCCAATCTCGACATCCTCGCCATGTAACAGCTGCGGCTCTCTGGCTCAAGATCCATTGGCGTCATGTAATGCACCTTCATCTCCGAGTGGCTGAGCACGCCCAAGTGGTTGCCCGCTGCACTGCCTCCGCAGGACGTGCAAGGTGGAGGGAGGGTGGCCATGCAGCTGCCGCATGGCTGGAGCGGCCCCCTTGCGGATCACCTTGTCTGTGAAAATTACATGAGCAACCAAAAAGAATTGAGAATGCTGAAGGCTCACAAGATCCGCTTCTCTCGACAAGTTCGACAGGAAGCTCCGAGTTGCCCAACCACAGCTGCACGTCTAACACGGCAATGTGACGTTCTCCTCGTGCGTAAGATAACGTCACACCGTAATAAGAGAAGCAAGCCTTCCCCCGTCACTCAGATCTACCAGGAGCTGCTCCAGATCCCTTGCACTTACAGTGGTTTTTGTCAGCAGTTTCAACTCCGATGGCTTGCGGCGCGGGATGTCATTAAGCAAGAAATCCAGCTTTGAGGACCACCACCCCTCCACGGCCTTTGGATGTTGAACTTTGTACCGTGCATATGGGTTCGGCTCTATAGCAGCAAGTTAAACTCTACAGCAAGAAAAAACACAGTGCGTACCTTGGGGTACTCCTTCAGGTTGAAACTAGGTACGTATTTCTCCACGTACCACGCTTCGATTGTCTTGAACAGAGCTCCACCCTCCACACACCGCAAGCAACTGTACCTGAAGGAGGAGATGACCCTCCGCAACTCGAGCGTGGCATCCACGGCTTCTCTCAAGCCCGGTGGCACATCGGCATCCCCAAGCTTGAAGATCAAATTGGCCAGACCCACGTTGAGACTTGAATCTCGGCCATCGAATGGCTGTCGCTGGGGAGCAAACAGAATTTGGCAAATATAGCTTACATTGTGATTTCAGCTTGAAAATCCAGATTTGGTATGATGCCGGCATTTGGATCGGTAAGGCAACTCTCAGTCTACTCTTTGTCTCGTGAGCGCTGCTGGCATTCCCGGAGGCTGGGAGTCGAATTTTATTCTCTTGTGGGATTGTAGCAGGGGTTTGTGAACAGTGGTTTCGTTTCTTCCCTGGAGAGAAGGGAAGAAGGGGTCGTGGAAGACTCTTTGCATCTGAGGAGGGGGGGGCTAGCAGCACGACGAGGATGAACGCCGAGATGGAAGGTAAGCTTCGACACTCGCAGTGCCCCTTTGGTGGACTTGGAGAGCGTTTTTACGTGAGTGATCCTAGGCGACTTGGGTTCCGCGAGAGCGATCGATTGTCCGGGGCGAAGTTTCAGGCCCTATGTCTCATGTTTCTTCCCTGGCAGGAGGTGACAAGAAAGCTATAAACCAGGCATTGTGGCTTGAATGCCCGGGACCTCTCATCACTTTGCCAGCGATTGGTAGCCAAGTTGTCTACTTCCCACAAGGTCACACCGAACAAGTCAACATACGTAGGAACTCTCAGAAAACGAAAAAAACCTTTTTTTTTCTCGTACCAGGTGGTAGCTTCCACGCAGAAGGAGGCTGATTTCGATATCCCAATCTCCCACCTCCATGTAAGGCAGACAACGAGAACGCAAACTTCAGAAAAAACTGACTTGTGTGTAGGCCGATCAAGAAAACGACGAGGTATTCGCGCAGATGACGCTGCAGCCCTTCTCACAGACTGCGGTAATCGCTTCCGATGAAACTCTTGGTTTTCTTCTTGCAGGACCCGTTTCTTTTGCCGGACTTTGGAATCCAAACGAAGCAAACCATTGTTTCTTTCTCCAGGACACTAACAGTGAGTGATACGAGCACTCATGGTGGTTTTGCCATTCCTTGCAGAGCAGCGGAGAAAGTTCCCCCCGCCCCCTCTTGTAAGAAAAGTTTCTTTTGTTTTTCTTCGTTTCATCTGATGAACGAGATTTCTCGTGTCCAGGATTTTACCCAGACACCTCCAGCTCAAGAGCTCGTTGCCAGAGACTTACACAACATCGAGTGGCGTTTCCGCCATATCTATCGAGGTATGTGCCCGTCACACAGCAAAATGCAAAGTTCCAGCTTTTACCCGCAGGCTACAAAATGGAAAGAGTATTTTTCACCTCAAGAACAGCACAGTGTCGCCAGCTTGAAGCCGCTTAAAACTGACAAAGACGCTCCACCCGGTCGTTAGCAAGTGCCCTCCAGGCTGGAGCTTGAGATTTTCTTGCAGGGACGAGCAGGGACAACACATGCTGGGAATTCGACGTGCAAACCGGCAGCAAACGAATCTCCGAGCGACAGCACGCTCGTCGGTGTTCTTGCCGCGGCTGCTCACGCAGCGTCGACTAACAGCCGCTTCGAGGTGCTCCTGCAGAGGAGGACTACTCTCTCTCTCGCGGAGGAGGAATACTCGTGCTCTCTCGCAGAGGAGGATCTCCAGATGAAAGAGAAGAAGGCAAGTTTAAATATGAACTTTCCTGGGCTCGGGATGCCGATGCAATTCAACCAGTCGATGCCACCGCTACTCCAGCAGCAGCAACAACAGGCCCAGCAGATTATCGACTTGCCTCCAAACGTCCCGGAAGCAGCGAGCATCCTCTCAAGACCCCTCCGGATCAGGGGTGAATCGAAGCAGCACGCCGCTTCTAAACCGCCTCATCGTCTGGGTGATCGTGATGTTGTGATGATGTTTTGTGTCGTGATCGTTTTTTATGCTTCCTGTCAGGGCCGGATCATGTGAAAAACCATGAAACTCTTCACCTCCTCGAAGATCGAACGCCAGTTTTCCTGTCCGGAAATCACATCGATGGAATAATAAGATACTACTTACTTCCCTTTCCTCGGCATCGATCGATTCACACGCTGGCGCCATCCATTTTTTTGTAGTTTCCCCAAAATGTTCCTGGTTTCTCGTGCAAGCGCATCGATCCAAAAAAAAAGCCATGGATCAGATCGAGCCCTGCCCGATCAAACGCCGCGTCCTCGGTCAATCCCTCAAATCTCGAAAGATTTGCAATATCCGTTCTCATGAATGTGAGGAGCAGCCGACAGTCCAAGTAGAGTATTTCCAAGTAGCGATGATTTTTATTTTAGTTGGATCGAGAGAAGCACGGGGGGACAAGGAGCCGACAGTACCCCCTGCCTGCCTGTCCCCCTTGTCCCCCCGCTGACATCGTTTGCCTCCAAATCCACTCCGCCAAACCAAAACCCCCTGCCCGTTAGTTAAGCCAATCCATGCCCACGTCACCGGCCCCGTCACGGCCACGTCAGGCAATTTGCCACGTGCCCACATCCAAATGGCCGGCAGCATTTATTTGTTTTCTCCCTCTTTTTTGCTCCTGTGTGGCGGCTGCTGTTGTGTAGGGTAACACTGCGCTGGTCTGCTGCTAACTGGGCTTTTGTTTGCTCCTTTTTGCTTGCGCGCTGCCTTGTTTGGATTTGGGAGATCGCGGTGTGGTGTTTGTGCCGGCATTTGGATCGGCAAGGCAACTATTGGGAGTTCTCACTCACTCTCTCACTCGTCCTAGTGTTTGTGGGTTCTTTGTTTTACTCTTTGTCTCGCAAGTGCTGCTGGTGGGTTTGCTGTTCTCGCTGTCTGTGGCATTCCCGGAGGCTGGGAGTGGAATTTTTTTCTCTTGTGGGGTTGTAGCAGGGGTTTGTGAACAGTGGTTTCGTTTCTTCCCTGGAGAGGAGTGAAGGAAGAACGGGGGCTTTTGCGTGTGACAATGGCGTCGGTGGAAGACTCTCTGCATCTGAGGAGGGGCCGCTAGCACTAGGACGAGGATGAACACCGAGATGGAAGGTAAGCTTCCCTCTTTTCTCTTTGCTTGTTTCGAATGCCCTTGGACTTGGAGAGCGTTTTTGCGTGAGTGATCCGAGAGATGGATAGAAGTTTAGGCGACATGGTTTCCACGAGAGTGATCGAAGTTCGATCAAAGTCAACTTTGTTGTCTTGTCCGGAGCGAAGTTTCAGGTCCTATGTCTCATGTTTCTTCTCTGGCAGGAGGTGACAAGAAGGCTATAAACCAGGCATTGTGGCTTGAATGCGCGGGACCTCTCATCACTTTGCCAGCGATTGGTAGCCAAGTTGTCTACTTCCCACAAGGTCACAGCGAACAAGTGAGTATCAATCAACATACGTAGGAACTCTCAAAAGACAAAAAGAAACCTTTTTCTTTTCTCGTACCAGGTGATAGCTTCCACGCACAAGGAGGCTGATTTCGAAGTTCCCAGCTATCCGAATCTCCCACCTCAGCTCTTTTGTATTCTTCACAACATCACTCTCCATGTAAGGCAGACAACGAGAATTCAAACTTGAGAAAAACACTGACTTGTGAGACTTTTTCGTGTAGGCCGATCAAGAAAACGACGAGGTTTTCGCGCAGATGACGCTGCAGCCCTTCTCACAGACTGCGGTAATCGCACCCAGTTCTTCCGATAATTGCGTGAAAACTCTTGGTTTTCGTCTTGCAGCTGCTGAAGGACCCGTTTCTTTTGCCGGACTTTGGAATCCAGACGAAGCAAACCATCGTTTCTTTCTCCAAGACGTTAACAGCGAGTGATACGAGCACTCACGGTGGTTTTTCCATTCCCCGCAGAGCAGCGGAGAAAGTTTTCCCCCCTCTTGTAAGAAGTTCTAAGCTTCTCGTATCATCTGATCAATGGGATTTTTCCTGTCCAGGATTTTACCAAGACACCTCCAGCTCAAGAGCTCGTTGCCAGAGACTTACACAACAACGAGTGGCATTTCCGCCATATCTATCGAGGTATGTGCCTATCACAGACGTAGAATTGCAAAGTTCCAACTTTTACGCGCAGGCCAGCCTCGAAGGCACTTGCTCACGACCGGGTGGAGCGTTTTCGTCAGCGCTAAGCGGCTTCAAGCTGGCGACACGGTGCTGTTCTTGAGGTAGAAAAAACTCGTTCCATTTTATAGAGCTTGAGATTTTCTTGCAGGGACGAGCAGGGACAACACATGCTGGGAATTCGACGGGCAAACCGGCAGCAAACGAATCTCCCGACATCTCTATTGTCGAGCGACAGCATGCTCATCGGTGTTCTTGCCGCGGCTGCTCACGCAGCATCCACCAACAGCCGCTTCACGATCTTCTATAATCCGAGGTAGCTTTGTTCTCTTCCTGTTTTGGAGCTGGCTGATGCGTTCTTCGCAGGGCGAGCCCCTCGGAGTTTGTGATTCCACTGGCGAAGTATCAGAAAGCACTGCATCCTCCGCAACTGACTGTAGGAATGCGATTTAGAATGGAGATGGAAACCGAGGACTCAAGCACAAGGAGGTAGCAACAGTAGAGAAACAAAAAGTATAGATCTATTTACCCGTTTGATCCACAGGTACATGGGAACAATCACTGGTATAGGAGATTTGGATCCCGTAAGATGGCCAAACTCCCACTGGAGATCTCTCAAGGTGAGAGCTTTACCAAAGCAAGCCGAGTCTTCTCACTTTTCTTTGTCCTCTCAGGTCGGCTGGGACGAATCTACCGCTGGACAGAAGCAACGCAGAGTGTCAGCATGGGAGATTGAGCCACTGACAGTACCTTTTCTTCTCTGCAACTCTTCGTTTTTGTTGAGGTCCAAGCGTCCGAGAGGTACTGGTAAGTGAGAGAGCTTTCTCCGGTGTGCTTAATACTCTCTCTCTCTCTCTCGCAGAGGAGGAGCTCCAGATGAAGGCTCCCTCGATCTGGGCCAGAGGAGAAGAAGGCAAGTTTAGCATGCAAAATATGAACTTTCCTGGGCTCAGTGGGATGGATCACTGGCTCCAACTCCAGCAAAAAGCCGGGGGCTCCGCGGCAGTAACTCCACCGCCTCCTGTCATCCAACCTGGTTACTACAGCTCCATCCTCCAAGAAATGCGGACCATTGATGCTACTCCAAAGCAGCTCATGCAAAGTCCGCAAGCCTTCCAGCCGATGCAATTCAACCAGTCGATGCCACCGCTACTCCAGCAGCAGCAGCAACAGGCCCAGCAGATGATGCACCTGCCTCCAAACGTCCCGGAAGCAGCGAGCATGCATGCTCCATACATCCCAGCTGCTCTCAAGACCCCTCCGGATCAAGAGGTGAATCGAAACAGCAACTCATACCCGCCCTTCATCATCGAGGACGGCGTCTCGTATACTTCGATGCTCCAGGGCTCGGCTCCAGCATCACTCCCAAAGCAGCAACACCATCAGCAGCAAGCAGGGATGTTGACTTGCTCGAGTTTGGATCACCAGACCAACTGGATGCCATCCCTGCGAGAAGGTGACGCGAGCATTCCGGTGGATGCATCGCTTCTACCGCCGTCGGCATCACAGCAAGCTCTGGATCAAGACAACGATCCCAGAAGTCACGTCCTCTTTGGCGTCAACATAGATGGCCAAGTCCCGCCATCTTACGCTCCCCCGCCTTTCTCCAAGCCAAAGGATTTCTCCGGAGCTCAAGCCGACATAGCTCTCCTCCATGCCGCCGAAGAGAATGGAGTCCCCCAACCAAGCTGGCCGCAACAAGTCTATCCCCCGCCAGTGAGAACTTTCACCAAGGTTTGCCTCCTTCCACTTGAAACACTTCGATGGGACGATCGATCGAGTAACACTTGCTTGCAGGTCCACAAGGTCGGATCGGTCGGGAGATCGCTCGACATCACCCGCTTCAAAAACTACCACGAGCTTCGCAACGAGCTCACGCGAATGTTCGGCCTGGAGCACGATCACAAGTCGGGTTGGCAGCTCGTCTTCATCGACAACGAGAATGACATGCTGCTACTGGGCGATGATCCTTGGGAGTAAGTTCTTCCTTCCTTTCACTCTTGAGGCGTTGCTAACGTTGACATCGCTGCAGTGAATTCATCGGCTGCGTCAAGTCGATACGAATCCTCTCCTCGTCCGAGATCCTCCAGATGAACCAAGAACATATGGAGTGGCTAAACTCCATTCCACTCCACCAGCAGCAAAAGCAAGCTAGCAGCTCCTCGGATGATCACCGGCCCTGCGGCGACGTCCCTGCGATCACTACTGCTACCCCCACTGCCGCTACCACTACTACTGCTACCACCACTGCTCAAGCAGGCAACGTACCCCGAGCGATGAGCAGCTACAACAGTGACCCGTCGTGCGTAAGCGATGGGATCTAACGTAACCAAGGGAAGAACTTGTCTCGATTTCTAGCAAGTAGGAAGCTTACAGCGAAGTCGCGCTTTTTATTCGCGCGTCTCCCTACCTATGTAGAAATTTTTACGCTGGACAGAATCAACAAAAACCGATACTTAGACGCGCTTAGGAACCACGTACCTCGCTACGTGATTAACAAACGCGTGTATGTTGTATGTCTTCCTTCCACCTACGTATATACACCCCCGACTGATGATCGAGGCAAATCAGCTTGAGCGGAGTGACCCGTTCACGAAGCCATCAGGAAGTGTAGAGGCAGCGGAGGAGGCGGCGGCGGCGGCGGCGGACTTCGTAGTAAGTAGATCCGTCCTTGCAGCGAGAAACACCGCCAGGTACTCGGGATCACGTTGGAGAGCCTCTACAAATTCGTCACGGCTCACCCGCTCCATTCCTTTGCTCAGCTTCTTCCACACCTCCTGTATTTGCCTCCCACTGATGCTGGGAATCAAGTCCTTAAGGCTGCTGAAAACGTCCTCAAAGCTCAAGATGCCATCGTTGTCCTGGTCGCAGAGCCCGTACGCCGCGTCGATTGTCTCACGGAGCTTTTCAAACCTTGATATGAATGCCAGCCCGTTGACATACTGCCGGAAGTTGAAGTAGCCCCTCCCTAAGCCGTCAAACAGCGAGAACACTTGCTGGACCGGCTGGCAATCGGGCAGCCCCAGCACCTTGACAAACGTCTCGTAAGTCACCCTGTTGGTCGCGGCCGGATCCAAGAGCTTGAACTTGGCGTAGTAAGCCTTGGCCTCCTTCATCGTCAACCTGTAGAGCCTCTCAAACCTGCCAAACTCGATCACCGGAATGGTGGAGTAGTCTTTGGCCTTCTGTGCGTCCGACACCAGGCTCAGGTCCTCATAACTGTGCTCCGACACCATCACGTTGAGAATGCTGGCCATTGTCATCCGGGTTCTCTCCGTGAAGAGCCTCGGGTTGCACTGCTCCTTCCAGCTCGGCTCGATCACCGGGAGGTACTCCACCACCATGTAGTTGTGGAACTGGATCATAAGCTTGAAGATGAGGAAGTATATAGACGGGCCCTGTGCTACCCACGATGGATCCATGTGAACTTGAGGATAGCGTACCACCATCGGTTGGATCGGGTAGCCGGGCGTAAACGCTCCAGTCTTGAAAGAAACCAGCGACTTACCATTAGTGGTGGTCGCCTCTGGGAAGATCATCACGGTGCTCCAGTCGTTACACATAGCTCGCCGCTTGATCTCTCCGGCCGCGTTCCTGCGCGAGTCTGGCGAGCCCCGGTTGATGGCAATGACTTGCATGGCACTGATGATCGCGCCAATGACCGGGTACTTGAGATTCTCCTCCGCCGTCACGATCACGGGCAAATGCTTGTAGAAGATGAAAACGGGGTCCACGAACGTGACGTGGTTGGAGACCAGAATCGGAGCTCTCTCGCGAGGAGCCGGCTTGCCTTTGATGGTGATCCAGTGGAATCCACACACGAAGAGAAGCACCCTCGCGAGAATCCTCACTGGCCACAGCAGAGACCTCCTCCATGCAGGAAAGGGCCTGGTGAGCACGTCCCTGGCGCCGATGAGCGCGATCTTGGTCAGGACAAGACCCAGCAGGAGAATCGCCGTGAATGCGATCATCCGCAAGATCGCGACCGGGAGCATGACGATCGCCTTGAAGAGCTCGTAGGGATTGGAAATACCCGGCACTGCGTTGAGGAAGGGATTGAAGGGCATGTCGGGCTCCACAACCGGCGGACTCCCGAGCGACGATAGCACTGGCGCTGGCGCTGGTGCTGCTTCTGTCACCGCATGCCCCGAATCGAAGGCATTGTGATCGGGAGAGGGCTTCTTCACAGACCTCTCTTGGATCGCTGTAGCTGGCGATTCCTCCGCCGACGGCGATTTCATCACCCGACGCTTCGATAATCCGCCGATGCCAGCGTGGTGGACGCTAAGCGGCGCTCCCCCGACGTTCTCCAGGCGCAGCGCCATAGCCACAAGCTCCAGTGCGCGCAATGGAGAATATCCAGGAGCCCTAGAAAAAAAGGCCCTAAATTAGATTAAAACGAGCGCAATCGGTTCTTCCGCGTGGCGCAAGCGGCACCGTTGGATCCGCCCGCAGCACACATTTAAAAGACCATGTGTATGAACATTGATGAATCTTTCGGTGGAGCAGCCTCTGGAGCGGCATTTAATTTGTCAACTCGCGCTATAATTCTTGGATTGGGTCCAAAAACGTTTCAAAACCGCGTGTGAATTTTGTTTCCCTTTCTCCATTCACTGTCTATCCAGGCCAGAGTTTTCGTTTTCCCTGTGGAGTGATTGATTGATCTGTTCGTGTATCACGTCACGGGCATTTGGTGTCCTCTAGACAAGAGCTAAAATTGGGGGTGCCGTGTTCCATGAGAAGATACGCCAACGCCCAAGCCCCAAAGAGTGGAGCCCAAAGCGTGGAGCCGGAGTAAATGGACACGAAAGATTCCGATTCCTTTGTCGTTCATCCTTTGATCGCCCGGGATCCATGCTCGAATCCACAGGAAACGCATGAGTTTGATATCAGGGGGGAATTTCTTCTCATTTCCAAATCGCCCAGATCGATTGGGGCTACACGGAAGGAGCCCAATCTTGTTGTTGTCAGGCTTTGCGAAAGCTGGGGATCTCATCCAGGCAAAGAAGGTGTTTGATTCTCTGTCCCACAAGAGCATACTGGCCTGGACCATCTTGATGACTGCTTATGCCCAATGTGGGCATATAGACAATGCCATTGAGACGTTCTATTCCATGCCGGAACATGATCTAGTTTCTTGGTCTGCTCTTATCAATGTCTATTCTACCTTTAGCGTGATCTGCGCGGCAAAACTGATGTTTGAATCAATGCCAGAGTGGAACCTGGTAGCTTGGAGTTCTCTTCTTGCAGCATATGCCCAGAGCGGGGATTTAAGAAAGACAAAGAATGTGTTTGATTTCATGCAATCGCGAAACATCGTCTGTTACTCGACACTGCTCACAATGTACACAAGATTTTGTAGTTTAGATCATGCAAAACCATTTTTTGATCAAATGCCAGAGTGGAATCTAGTGTCGTGGAATGTGCTTCTTTCAGCTTATGCAAAGATTGGAAATCTTGAAAGCGTTCAAGAGGTGTTCTTGATAATGGAGGCTTGGAACCTCGTCTCCGGCGCAACTATGATAACTGGATACACAAAATATGGCCATATTGGAAAGGCTCAAACCATTTTTGAAAGCCTGCCAGTGTGGAATGCCGTCGCATGCACGGCGATGCTGACTGGATATGCCCAAACGGGGCATGTCTTGCTTGCTAAGCAGGTCTTTGACACGATGCCCGTGAGAGGCATTGTGACGTGGAATGCCATGCTGGCGTGTTATGCCCGAAACGGGTACACGGAAGATGCAAAGGCGATATTTCATGGGATGAAAGAGCACGACATTGTTTCGCTGACGACGATGCTAAGCTGCTCACGCTGTTTGGCCGATGCTGAGAGTCTTTTCAATCGATATCCGGAGAGAAATCTTTGCAGTGAGAATGTGATGCTGGATGCATTTGTCTCTGGAGGAAAGATCGAGCAAGCGAAGAGATTCTTTGATGGAATGAAATACCATGATTTCCAATCGCTGGTTGTCATGGTTCTGGGATTTTCCCACGCCGGGAGGCTGGAAGAAGCAAAGTATGTTTTTGAAGAGGCCCGCGAGTTTAATCCTGTGCTGTGGACTTGCATGGGTTCGGCATATGCTCAATCTGGGCATTTTGAGGAAGCCAGGCAAATTTTTGGCAATGCTTCGGATGTAGTCTTTTTAGATGACAATGCAAATGAAAAGATTGCTTGGCATTTACATGATCACAATGATCTTGTTTTCTGCAATGCTCATCTTTCAGTTTGCCTCCAAGACGGAGATTTTGTGGAGGGAGTCCAGAAGTTCCATCGCATGAAACAAAGAGACCAAGTTACCTGGAACTCGGTTGTATCAGCTTATATCCGGAGGGGTCAAGTGATCACGGCAGCTCGTTTGTTTGATCGCCTTCCAGTGAGAGATGTTACAAGCTGGAACTTGGTTCTAGCCGGCTTGTGTTGGAAGATCGACTCTGAGGTTCGAAATGAAGTGTTTCACAAGATGATCCTGATGGAAATGCCGGACGAGGTCACGCTTCTCTGCAAACTATACTTGTGTAGTCATGAAGGAAACTTGGCCAATTTCTCGAGATGGTTTGCTTCACTGAGAAGTGACTTTGGGCTGGAACCAACCAAGCAGCACTACTCAACAGCGATTGATATCCTTTCTAGAGCGGGGGATTTAAGAGAAGCTTGGGATCTTTTAAACACAATGCCGTTCTATCCAGATGAGATGGAGTGGACAAAGATCACAAAACACAAACACTGATCTTGTCAAGTTCCCAATCGAAGTTCTTATACATAGTTTGCTCATCACTTCGAGTTTTTCAAGGAGCTTTGAAGCTCCGCTGGTTAGAATTGTTGTTTGTTTACAACACAGAATGACTTGAAGCTTGGGGGATTTAAACAACACAACCATGTCGTCCACAAACTTTGATCCAAAAACTTGGTCATCTCATCCAAGCATCTTGAAACGGATCTAAACAAAAATGAATGCAAAGAACAGACTAGAAACGAAATCGAAAGAACCAACCTCAAGATCACTTGTTAGTTGCGAGTAGCTCCGCTTCTTCTTCTTCTTCTTCTTCTTCTTCTTCCAATTCTTTGATCAGTTTCACTCCATGACGGCGGTCCCTCCCACAGCCTTCAACTTGTTAATGATCTTCTCGGCCTCCTCTTTCGTGACGCTCTTCTTCACCATCGCCGGGAGCTTCTCCACGAGCTCCTTGGCCTCCTTGAGCCCCAGCTCCGTCACCGATCTCACCTCCTTGATCACCTTGATCTTGTCCGCGGCCTCATACTTCTCCAGCTTGATATCAAACACCATCTTCTCCACTGGCTTCTCGGGTGCCGCGGCGGCGGCGGACGCATCGGCAGCGGCACCGCCACTTCCAGCTCCGCCAGGAGCCATCATCCCCGCCGGCATCACCATCCCCGCGGGCATCATCATCGGCACCGAGATGTTGGCGTGATCAAGCCCGAGGCGCTTCTTGAGCTGCTCCGTGAGATCCGCGAAGTCGACCACCGAGAGCTCCACGAGCTCGTTGACGAGCTTCATCACTCTCTCGGATGGAACGCGCTCTTGGGCTGCGGCGGCGGCTGCTTCCGGCTTCTCGGATTTGCCCGCTGCTGCTGCTGCTGCTGCTTCTGGCTTCTCGGATTTGGCCTTGTCACTCGCTGGCGATGCTTTGTCTGGTTTTCCCGGGGCCTTCTTCGCCGCTGCCTCGGCCGCATTTACCTGGGAGGATGTGTGGAATGCCAAGGACCAACCTGTGAGAAGCGCGCTCCTCCATTGCTCGTCGGTCCGCAGAGCCAAGTGCCGAGCTCCACGAAGAACGCTCATTCCTCCCTAGGGTTTTAGGGGAGAGCCCAAAAGCCCTAATGGTAAAGCCCAAAACCCTAATGGCTAATGGTTGGTAAAAACTCGATTATTCGCTTGGTTATTTTCTAGAGGACAGTGTTTGTGTTTGTGGTTTGTGGCAGTAGCGTCAATGATATATGATCCAATTGGAAAATCAATTGGGTATGAGAAGACGTTGATCAGTCGCGCTCGATCTGGATGGTAACATGGGTGATCTTAAAATCGCGCTCGCAGTACTCGATCACGTTGCGCAGCACCTCGTCCGCGTCCGCATCGCGCTCGATCTTGACATGGCACGCCAGCAGAACTTTGCCGAGCGTGATCGCCCAGATGTGGAGCTCATGCACCGCCTGGACGCTGCCAATCCGCCGCAGCCCCTCCTCCAGCCTCGTCGCGTCGATCTCCCGCGGCGTGCTCTCCATGAGCACGTCCGAGATCTCCGTCCACATGTTGACGGTGGTGAGCAGCACCAGCACCGAGAAGAGCAGCGTGCACACCAGATCCACCACCTTCCACTCGGGCTTGTACCAGATGATCGCCCCCGCGATCATCACTCCGATGCTCTGGATCAGATCGCCCAAGACGTGCAAGTAAGCGCCCCTCACGTTGATGCTGCTGGTCTTGCTGTTCTTGCTCGTACCGTGGTCACGGAGCTCGTCCAGATCTTTGTCGAGCTTGATACGGTTGGGGCCGTGATCCGAGTCGACACGTATCAGAAAAGAATCACTTTTTCTCCCATGGTGATCGTGCTGTTCCTGTCCCTGGTGGCCGTGCTCTTGGTGGCCGTGATCTTGTTCCTGGTGGTCGTGATCTCGCCCGTGTTCTTCGTGATCGTGCTGCTGGTGGTCGTGATCGCTGTCAGCGTGATTATGATCTTTGTCCTTGTCACCGACAGTAGTGCATCCTCCACTGTGAGTGTGAGAGTGGGATTGGTGGGAGTGTCCTCCTCCACTGTGGCTGTGGCCGTGGCCGTGGCTATGGCTGTGACCGTGGCTATGGCCGTGGCCATGATCTCCCAGGATGAGCATCATTCCAATGTTGACGAGCAACCCAAGCGTTGCGATGATGAACATGAGCCCACCATTCACTGGCTGGCTGTCGTGGAAGAAACGCGAGACCGCCTCGTAGACGAGGATCCCAGTGATGAGCCAGATGATGTGAATTGAAACCAGCGCCCCCAGGATCTCCACCCGGTGGAAGCCATAGGATTGCTTGGGGGTCGCGTCCCAGCCCGAGGCGTAGATCGCGAAGAGCGAGATCGCGAACGAGGCCACATCCGAGAGGAGATGAGCCGCGTCCGTGAGGATCGCCAAGCTCCCGGCTATAATCCCTCCCCCTACCTCCAGAATCATGAAGACGATACAGAGCCCAATCGCGATCACCAGCTTCCTCGTCGTCGCGCGCCGCTTGGCCAGGTCCTCCGGGTCCGATAGGCCGCAGCCATCACCGCAAGAGACCATGCCGCGCTGCCTGATCATCGATCCATCCCAATCGACCAACGACAATCACACTAAATCAGCTGGAATTCCCAATGCGATCGATCAGGTCGGCTCACCGTGAAATGGAATCCACCTCCTCCGCCGCGCGTCCATGGCTGCTCCTCAGCAATGGCTCCTCCATGATGCTCTGCTTAGCCCTAAATTTCGCCCTATCTTTAAGGCCCTTTTCTTCACTGGATTGCTTTTTAGGGCTCTAGCGGAGCATGCGTCAGGGACGCAGGAGTCTCAGGTTTAGCAAGATTTTGGGGCTGGCATTCCTTCTCCTAGTAGTCGGATTGCTCGCGCTTCGCCGGTGGCAGCCTCACGAGTTACACATGGGTGAGTGTTTAGATTAGATTCGGTGGAAAATTTATGATCTCTAAATTCTTCCTGTCAGCATCCTATAATTCGCAGCGCTCGACAATCTATCAGAAAATGGCTGACGAAGGTCGGGCATTCCTTGCCGGTGGAGAAACCACGCAATCTCTCAAGGTAAGTTTTGAGTCTTTCGTTTCAAAAGGGAACTCCTTGGAACATTTTTCTGTTCTCCAGATCAGTGATATCTTCTCTTTCGACAATGGAAAGATTCATCCCATTCACAAGGTACCTACATTTTTCCTTCTTACGTTCATTCCATGCCATTCTAAACACTTGTTTCGATTCAAGCTCGCAGAGCCACCTGTTCGAGCCGCGGTGCTCTACTTGCCGCAGAAATTCTCGCGAGTGATATCGTTCGTGTGACGAGTTCTAGTTGCGGGCTCTGAAGTTGATACGTTTCTTTGTTTGTAGGGAGATCGTCACAGAGACACTCGGCTCGCATTCTTCAGGCAAGTCACGTCCATCGTTTACTATGCCGTGATTGATGTTTCATTGATGCAGCTATCTGGTACCAGAATCCCGAGATGTATCACTTTAGCCTTTACCACGCCTCGCATCATCTGGAGCCGGTGCCGGCTTCCAAGTCCGAGGTAAGCATTTCGAGATGTGTGCTTTACGTGTTGGTGTTTTTTTTTATTGTTTAGATCGCAAGAGAGCTGGAAGCTGTGGACCAAGTTGCAAGATCGTGCTCTCCTTTACGTATTCAACTGGAGCGTGTTGTATTGACTTGCACAGGAGCTCTGATCGGCTGCTGGCAGGTTTGACGTCCATGATTGGAAAAGTCGTTAAATCTTACTTTAGTGTCCAGGTTTTGGAAGGGACAGATCCACTTGTTATACGGGAACGTTTGAAGAACAAGCTCCCAAATGCACCAAAGAAACAACTGGTAAGGGTTGTAGCCCTTCATCCATTCTATGATCTCTCTTTTAAGCTTGGTTTTGCAGTATGACAAGCTCATACTCCATTGTTCTTTCGCGAGAATTTTACCACCGACAGCAAACGAAACTGTGGAGGTTTGTTAGATCGATCAATTGCTCGAGTTTTCTAAGTTATTATCCATACAGACAAAAGATAATCGGATGACCACGGAGCTGCTGGAGCAACTAGTCATGGATCTGAACAAAGCGCTGCAAAACTTCGAGGTGATCAAACCACTATTACTTCCAGGGTAAAGATTTATTGTTCCAATTCCAGGCTGATATCAAAGAGCTATGGTTCGTGGAAGAACTGGATATATTAGCTCTGGCACTCCAAGGCCGAGTTAAAACCCATAAGTTTTCCCTGGGAGGATAAACGTAATACCATTCTGGCGAATATGCCGTTGGCCCTACTAGCCGTTGAGTTTTCTGACGTGCCACGTTCGCCGGTCGGCACATCTTTCCGGCGTGCCCCCAAAATTCAAAATACAAGTTTGCCCTAAACCGGCAGCGGCCGGTAGAGAAGGACGCTAGGCTAGGCGCCAGGGAAGGAAGCTTTCTTGGATGCGCCACACCCACAGCTAGGTTTTTCTAGGCGCCGAGCTCGCGATCGCTGCGCCGCCCTCGCGATTTGATGCATCGCTGCTGAAATATCGCGGAATGGAGAGCGGCGGAGGCTCGGAGGTCGAGAAAGATGCATTGCAGGCTGTCCAGGTCGCCGTTCACATCAGGCCCCTCATCGCGCAGGAGCGGATTCAGGGATGCAAGGAATGCGTTTCGGTTGTTCCCGGCGAACCGCAGGTAAAATCTCCCAAAATTCCTCTCGCGAGCCGGCGAGATTTCACTTCTCCCGGTACATCGATCGGGGAATGGATTTAGGTCAATTACGAGCTTCTGTGGTGCGCAGGTGCAGCTGGGATCGCATTCTTTCACGTTTGATCATGTCTATGGAGGCGGTGGCTCCTCGCCATCGTCTATTTTCGATCAATGCGTGAGACCTCTTGTCGAGGGATTGTTCCAAGGCTACAATGCCACTGTCCTTGCTTATGGACAGGTAAGAAGTTTGTTTTCTTCTCGTTTGGCACTCACTTGGAGCTCAATTTATAGACAGGATCCGGCAAAACTTACACTATGGGCACTGGTTACACAGTGGGCGGTAGCAGTGAGGGTGTTATCCCACAAGTCATGGACACACTCTTTAGCAAAATCAATGCTTTGAAGCACAAGGCAGACTTCCAAGTCCGAGTCTCTTTTATTGAGGTAACCGGGCAAGCTGGTTCATTTCTTCTTTCTTTTCTGAAGTTTGGCAGTGAATGCAGATCTTGAAGGAGGAGGTCCATGATCTTCTTGACCCAAATCCACCGTCTACAATGAAAACTGATGCTGCCAACGGCGCACTTTTGAGAGTTGTGCCTGGAAAGCCTCCCATCCAGATTCGGGAGACCGGGAGCGGAGGGATCATGCTTGCCGGCGTAACAGAAACTGAAGTACGTACGTTACCAGAGATGGCCGCCTGCTTGGAACAGGGATCTCTTTGCCGAGCAACAGGAAGCACCAACATGAATGCGCAATCAAGGTGCGTTTGACAAGAATTTTCGTCTTTCTGTGGTAGCTAACAAAGTTTACCGCAGTCGCTCTCACGCAATCTTTACTATCAACGTCGAACAACGTCGAAAATGGGATTCCTTTCTGAATGCTGATACTTCATCATTGCCGGAGGACACCGGAGAAGACTTTCTCTGTGCGAAGCTCCACTTAGTAGATCTTGCTGGTTCTGAGCGCGCCAAGAGAACTAAAGCAGATGGGAATCGTTTCAAAGAAGGTGAATGCCTGTTATTCTTGTTACCACTAAAATAGCACCAATGCAGGTGTACATATCAATCGAGGACTTTTGGCTCTTGGAAATGTGATTAGTGCTTTAGGAGATGACAAAAAACGCAAAGAAGGTGGCCACGTACCTTACAGGGATAGCAAATTGACACGCCTTTTGCAGGTAAGCCTTAGGGATGGCTGAGTTTATGGTTGTTTATTATTTCGCATGCAGGATTCTTTAGGTGGTAATAGTCGCACAACAATGATTGGTAAGTCTGCTCAATACAGTTTTCAGAGACCTCACATCCATTCTGTATTAGCTTGTGTTAGTCCTGCGGATTCTAATGCCGAAGAAACACTGAATACTCTGAAATATGCTAATCGGGCACGCAACATTCAAAACAAACCAATGGTAGGCTGGCTAATCAATTCTTCTCCCCGTTGTTGATGGTATGATTTGGTGTGCAGGTGAACCGTGATCCAGTAGTTGCGGAGATGCAGAGAATGAGACAGCAGTTGGAAGTGCTACAAGCGGAACTTTTATGCGCTCAAGCAGCAACCATACCTGAGGAAATTCAGGTAGTTATTTTCCTGTCATTCGTTGATTCTGATCCTCGGAAGCACAGATTCTTAAGCAGAAAGTGACATGGCTAGAAAGCAACAACCTGGAACTACGGCGTGAACTGCAACAGTCGGCTGAAAGCTGTGCTTTACTTTCCGAGCAAGTCGTTAGTGCACAGGTATTTTACTGTTGGACTGAGTGAACTTTCTGAATCTAAACGCAAGTGTAGGTGGAACGCGATAAGTTGCAGCTCAAGTTTCAAAAATTACGTAGTGGCGTGGCGCTTTCGGAGTGTGGAGAGAACGATACCGAGGTTTGTGTCTGTAAAGTCTCAGTTTGTTTTCTAACCGATTGTTCTCAGCAGAGCGAAGATCTGGTCAAAAACTACTTGAAAAGGATTCAAGAATTGGAGCTGGAATTGCTAAGTGTGAAGTCTAGCAACGCCACCGATCTTTCGGCTGAAGGAGAAGGGGACGTGGAAGAAGGAGAAGGGGACGTGGAAGAAGGAGAAGGAGAAGTGGACGTGGATGTAGTTGCTGCAAAAGAGCTGGAGCATACTATGCGGCAGGACTGTCTGGACAAGGAACTCGAAGAGCTTGATAAACGACTTGAACTGAAAGAGGTACCAGATGTGAGAATTAAATTGGTTTAACATGTTTTTTTTTGTCAATTCAGGCGGAAATGAAAGCGTTTGCAAGACCCGACAACGTCGTCTTGAAGCAACATTTTGAGAAAAAGCTTATTGAGCTTGAAGACGAGAAAAAAACCCTCCAGGTACTGCTTTGCAGAAGTATAGCTGCCGTAACTACTTTGATCTTCTGCAGAAAGAGAGAGATGCATTGCTGAAAGAGTTAGAGGCGCTGGCGACCAGCTCAGATGAGCATGCTCATAAAATGCAAGAGACGTATGTCCAGAAGCTCAAGGACCTCGAGCGTCAGGTGAGAGAGTTCATAAAGTTTACACTGGCAATGAAAGTTTGGTACTACAGATTGCGGAGCTCAAGAAAAAGCAAGAGAATCAAGCACAGCTGCTGCGTCAGAAACAACGAAGCGACGAAGCAGCAAAGCGTTTGCAGGAAGACATTTTGCGTATGAAGCAGCAAAAGGCTAGTCATTTTATTGTTTCCTTCGTGATTTGACTCATCTTCTTTGACAGGTGCAACTACAAAACAAAATAAAGCAAGAGTCAGAGCAGTTTCGTGCATGGAAAAACGCCAGGGAAAAGGAGGTCTTGCAGCTCCGGAAAGAGGGAAGGCGAAATGTTTACGAAATGCACAAACTTCAGGCTCTACACCAGCGTCAGAAATTGGTATTCCGTAACGATATCCTTTCCTGAATTTCTGATTTTATTTTTCCAGGTTCTTCAAAGAAAAACAGAGGAAGCTGCAGTTGCAACACGCCGCCTGAAAGACATGCTAGAGGCTTCGGAAGCTTCTTATGCGAGGCAAGTGCTTGTGACGTTACTACCATAACACCTTCGGTTTGTCTGTTGCAGAAGCCAATTGCGTATCAAAGAAATCGAAAACAGGGAGCTTAGAAAAAGAGTTATTGAGCTTTCCGAAAGCCTCAAGCAAAGTGAAGCACGCAGAATGGAGTTCGAAAGGGATAATGCTAAACAACGTCGTGAAAGAGAACAGCCTGCTGCAGTTGTTTTAGCAACAGCGTCAAAGGTACTGCTCAGTTTCATTTCTAGCATTCACTCTGTTTCCTTCTGGCAGGATGCTGGGCGAGAGATAAATGAGCTTTCTGTCGGACTAGCGCAGCTTGTACATACCGGTAGGAAGTCGTCGCATTATGGCAGTGTTGGTTTTGAAAGCATCCCTTACGATCTTCGCAAGGTGGGAGGATTGACGGTTCTTCGATTTTCCACCGGCTTAATCTTGTCGACCATGACAGGCTCCACGGGAATCCTACAAGAGCATAACTAGCGAGAGCTCCGAATGTGAAACGGACATGGAGATCGAAGAGATTGATCAGTCAGACAAAGACTGGGACGTGGACGACGAGAAGTACAAAGACGGGCTAAAGCTGGGCTCGGCAGGGTGCTGCAGCTGCAGCCAAACCTCAGGCTGCAAAACGAAGAAATGCCAATGCAGGCTGGCTGGTGGCTACTGCGGTGCTAGCTGCTCGTGCAAAGCCAGCAAGTGCGCGAACAGAGAGCATGCGGTGTCCGGGTCAGACATGGCAGGAACCTCTTCAGCTAGCAGTAGCGTACAGGACGCTGGATCAGACCGGGGATCGGAAGAGCTGGCCAAGTATGGAGCCAAGCTCCTGGACACTGCATACAAGGAGGAGCTAAGCGCGCAGATAACAGCCAGTATCGGTGGTGAAACGGTGGAAAAACCCAGCCAGCGTCGCCCACTCAGCGACATCGGCAATACAAGAGTAAGTACGCAAAAACTCCACATACGTTCGTTTTCTAACGCAGAGGTGTCTCACAGGTCGTCATTCCGTCTCGAAAGCCTGGAAAGCAAAAGAGAAAGTCGCAGAAGATAGTGGTACAACTCGTTCCCGTGGAGTCCAGCACTGCCCCGCAGCCTGAAGCGGTGGCTCCTCCTCCCCAGCCGCCCGCTCTTCCTCCTCTTGCTGTCGATCAAGCTCCACAAGACAGCGAAGTGGAGCAGCAGCAGCAGCAAAGGTATCGGCATCAACGAGAGCAGCCTCTCCAGCCGCGGACTGCGTCAGTGAGCCCGCTTAGAGCTCGCAATCGGCATCGAGCAAGAGACGATAGCGGAGGCGTGAAGAGAGTGTCGAGCGGTCCACCCAGTCCCAGGAAGAAGCACGGCGACGAGAAAGAAAACATTAGATAAGATGCGAAGCAAGAAACAAACGGCATTACAGCCCAAGTGGCAGCCATGTCATCTCTTCACTCCAAATTAGTGGGAAAAAACGCTTATTTGATAATATGGATCTTTTAAGAATGTTATGAGCTAATAATTTAACAATGAGAATAATTTAACAGCTAATAATTTTAACAATATGAACTTTTATCAACATATTGAATATTGTATTAAACCTTATAAACTGGTGGCCCAATTTAGCACAACATTTGATATGGTCGTTTTCAATAAGTAAATAGCCCTTTAGACAAACTATATATCATAAGAATGGGAAAATAAATTAATACTATATCATCCACTTTATATTTTATATATAAAGAAAAAATTCTAGAAACTAACTTCAATAATTGGTGGCAATTGTAAAAGTAAACATAACTCCGTTAGCAATATTAATATTATAAACATGAGATACATATATTATATAAATAACCATCTTAATCTGGGTTTTGAAAGTTTATGTACTTCATGATCATCCCTTTAAAAGTCTTAATAAGCCATTCGACTAAATCATCCATTTGTAGATGGTAAGCATGTATGAAAGTATGGAATATCCCTAGTCAAGACATCATGCCTTAGCCATAAATGCAGGACTATTATCTAAAAAAAATCTACTCTAAACAAGAATGTTGGAATCATCCAATTTAAAAGAAGTTATAAATTATAAATTTTCATTTTCTAATTTGCCAACTACTTTGTCTATCCAACCACATTTGCTTTGGCCTTAGTGGTTCCCTTGCTAAAATTCACACTTATTATACCAATTTTTATTTAGTCCCACTTGAATTTAACTACTTACTACATAAACAATAAAGTGTTAGCTATCCTTCCATGGATTCCCAAACTCTTTATTAATTCCTTTCCCTGAGTTAAATTAGACTTATGGTTTGCCTACACTCCCCACAAAGTTAAGCAACTAAATATACTAAACTTTCAACATCCCTTGATACAACAAAATTTGTTTATAGAACCTTTTAAATCCTACACTTTCAATGCATTTCTTTTTGGGGAAATATTGTGGATTAACAATTAATATGGGTATTTTAACTTCCCACCTCTATCCCAAAGGGAAAACCCAAGCCTTTAAAATGGGGTGAGGATCAATGAGTTACACAGTACTCAAATTGAACACCACTCTATTTGAGTTAAGAGCACTACAATCAATTTCTTTTTCGGGAGTGGGAGTTGCTTTTAAGTATGTCATTAAAGTGCCTCTCAAACACCCTTTAAACCCTTATTCACTCCCACCCAAGACTAGTAACCCCTAATTCTAATTTCAACTCCATTTGGAAACACCATTGGATGGTTCTTTCAAGACTGGATCTTTAGTAGCCCCCCTCAACTCCCCTCCCCTCTTGGAGAAATAATTTCCTTAGGCTTTCACCACATGATTTGTATTAGTATTTTTGGACTTGATCTCAGACTTGGTCTTGAATTTAATCTTGAATCTCGGACTCAAACTCAAAGTCGAGTTCAGACTTGGTCTCATTTGACTAACTCTTTATTGTTTTAATCATATGTAAGACATAAATCCCTAGGCCCTAAAGTGGAGTTGAAAGGGTGTCACATGGCAGTGGTCAAAGTAGAAGTCTAACAAGCTTAACACATTTGGACCAAGAGTTTTAACTCGAAAAGTTGAGAGTGGGAGTGAAACTCCTAAATAAGTGTTTGTGGAACAAGTGCAAAATAATTGGTGAACAAGTCTCTAGAAAATGAAACAAGAGGGACCAACATATAGCAAGTGTTGACATATGAAAGTGTCGAGACTGACTCTAAGATGGTGTTTAAGATGGAGTCCAAGAAGAGTTTAAAATGGAGTCCGAAAAGGAATTCGAGATAGAGTCTTAGTAAAAGTCCAAGAAGGAATCCAAGTTCGAGAAGGAGTCCAAGATAGAGACTGAGATCAGGGCCAAGAGCGGGATTGAGACCAAGACAAAGACGAGGACTAGGACCGAGACTGGGACCAAGATTGAGACCAAGATTGAGACTAAGACTGAGTCTGAGTTTGAGTCCGAGTCCGAGTTCGAGTTTGAGTTCAATTTGAGTACGAATTCGAGAGTGAAAGGTCAAATAAATTGTCTCCCAAATCCCCCAGGGTTTGGTGAGCTTCAAAAAGATAGTAGGGGGAGGACTCTAGTGGAACTAGTTTGGCTAAGACAAGCTAGTGTGACTAAAGAAAGCTATACCCACGTGGTGGGTGATGGTATAAAAGGAGTCCAAGGCTAAAGTGAACACAAATAGGGTAACTTAGTGAAGTGTTCAAGAGCCAGTTCTAGCTCCCTCGAGAGATTGTGGTCAATACTCCCAATCCAAATATAGGTGGTAGTACATACTTGGATATTCTATGTGGCTTATTGAAACCTCACTCTAGTCACATAGTTAAGGCATTTAAGGGCAAAAGCTAGGGAGGTGCCCACAAGGCTCTCATAGGGTTATAATGTTTCAAAATGTTATCCCAAAGTCTCAGACTGTGGAAATGATAAGGAGTTGTCCTCTAGCATAGTGACCAAAGGCATTGTCATGTGGTGAAGAAGTCCCAGAGGTTAGTGGGACTTAGTGGTTGAGGCTTTAGACCTTGATTTAATGGCAGTGTTGGTGAGCACGACTATAGATGGAGAGGGATTTAGTGGGAACTAAAGAAGGGACATTGGGGAAGGGTGTTCTTTATGTCTCTAAGCATCTTAAAGATGTTAAGACATGGTTTTGGGATATAACTTATAGACATATGGTTTAGTCTTGGAGAAATGAAACTATGGCATAAATGGTCTTGGACTACTAATGAGACAAAGGTAAATAGACATAACCTTAATGTAACGGGCTAATGTGTTGATGGAACCTTTGAGGTGTCTATCGTGGGATCAGACATGTGAAAGTGTAGCGCATGTGATTATGGGATGAGATTTGGATATACTGTCACCGTGGATCCTTGGAACCTTGGGGGATAAATGGGGATAAAATAGCCACTAAGGGCTCTCTCATCAAGCAATTGCCCCTTTTTCAGTCGGTTTAAGGGAAGAGAGATAAGGTGCGCTATAGCACTTGCACCAAGTGTAAAGGCTAAGTGGCATAGGCCATTCATGGGGCTAATATATCCCTAAGTCGGGAATAAAACTTATAAAGGTTGTGAGTGAAATTTCTCTAAGTGATTAAAGGTGTGGTTAAGTGATTAAAGTAAAATAGAAAATTTAGTATTAGGATCCTACCCTTACACCTTAAGCCAACTAGCTAAAAGGGTGATTACTTGATTGCAGGGCCCTTTCTTTCAATCCTCCCCTTGTCAGAGAATGATTGTTCGTAATCATTTTTAAGCCACCCTCCTGTCACCATGGTCCTTCTCTTATACCAAGCCTTGGTTCTCCCTCTAGATCCACCATGTTGAATATTCCTTTAGCATATTCTTGCCCTATTCGTCAGCCATGAGAATCAAATTGGGCTCCAATGCTAATGTTATGATCCAGTGTAAAAAAGACAGAGATCTAGTCTCCCTAAACTATACTACACCACCTCTTGAGATTCTTCACCACCTAACCACCTCCAAGCTACTCCAAAAGCTCCACTACAGCACTCTTCTGTGAGCCCTAGGGTAGGTTAAGTCCCTTACCTTAACATACCTTAATATACACTTGAGCCTCTCTTTAACCGATGTTAAGCACATGGTCAAAGCTGGCACTTAACAATTCTTTCCCCCCCAACAAAATCCTTGTCTCAAGGATGAGTTGTACTGGTGATCACCTTTTATAGGGAACTCTATTCAAGCTTCTGGTCCATCTTCCACAACCATATACATCAAGGAGGCATTGGGCCCATCATTTCGAGATAATACACCTTTCAACTGGCTAACGTAAAATATCGGATGAATTTTCACCCTAGCTGGTAGCCACACTGAATAAGCCATTATACTAATGCGCTCCAGCACTTCATATGGACTAACATATTGATGGGAAGGTTTGTCACTCTTCCCTGTTTATAAAGGCACCAAGGTGTTCTATTGCTCACTTGACAGAAAGGTCACTCGCACGAAGACAAAATCACCCACCTTATATTCCCAGAATTGACGATGCTTATTAGCAAACTTCTCCGCTCTATCTTGAGTTGCTTGTAAATTCCATTTGCACACCACTAAAATCTCATCAAGGTCTATTGCTAAATCAGTCACCTTAGAATCAAGCTTATCTTGAACATCCTTACTCAAATGCAATCCCAACTCCACCATTATTCAGAGATGCCTTCCAAACATGACAAAGTAAAGACTTAGCTTGGTTCCACTATGTTGGCTATTGTTGTAAGTAAATTGCACCAACAGAAGGTATAGATCCCACTATCTCTGCCTTTGACCAATGCTACAGCATAGCATATCTTTCACCATTTGATTCATACACTCAGTTTGCCCATCTGTTTAAAAATGATTTCCACTCAAGAGTTTCAAAATCACTTGCATAGCCTTTGCAAAGCTCTTCCAAAATCCACTAGTGAACCTTGAATATGATCATTAATAATGTCCTCTGGCAAACCAAAATCATGAAAACTTTCTCCAAGTAAACTATAGCCAAGTCTGAGGTAATGATAATCTTCCAAAGAGCTAATAGCCGTACATACTTTGTCAACCGATCCACTATAACCCATACTTGCTCCTTTTGCCTTTGTGTGTGTGGCAAACAAGTGATGAAGTCTATAGAGATATTATACCAATAGCTCTAAGGAATAGGTAAAGGTTGTAGAAGTCTTCTTAACTTTTCTCGTGGCACCTTAACCCATTAACAAAGCTCACATAATTTACAATACTTAAAGATATCAGCCTTCATATTCCTCCAATCAAAATTGCACTCAATCAACTTATACATTTTCTTCCCCCAAAATGACCAGCCTCTGGATGATCATAATAGTGGGATAAAACTTAAGTAATTAATGCATCCATATGTGGCAAATATACACGGCCATTGTAGTAAAGAATCCCAACCACCAATGAGAAAAGGGTTTCCATGTGGTCTTACAAAGAGGCCACCTCAGCATTCTAGGCCTAAGCATGCTCAATCAACTGCCCAAATTTAGTGACCATCTTACTTAAATGATGACAAAATTGTGTTTGTAATGTTGTTATATGATGAACAGAAGACAAAGCATTTGCCACCATATTTGATTTTCCCGAATGATGCTCAATAAGAAACTCCCCAAATTCCATAAGTTTGACCATTTAACGAGCTTGCCTAGTGTTCAACTCCTTTAGTGTGAAAAGATACACAAATGGTTTGTGATCCATCAACACCATAAACACTACATCATAAAGATAGTGTTGCCACATCTGCAAAGCATGAACAAGAGAGAGTAACTCTTGCTCATATGTGGAATAGCGTTGTTCTGTAGATTTCAAAGTTTGACTCTCATATGCAATAGGTTGTCCCTCTTACATGAAAACTCCTCTTAGTGCATAACCACTCGCATTGTATATCACCTCATAAGGTTTAAATGGATCAACAATACAAAGCATTGGAATCTTTCTCAACAATCATTTCAGCACCACAAAACTCCCCTCTTATGGCTTCTTTCACTTGAATGGTATGTTCTTGCGCAACAATTGTGTCAAAGGAATAACCACCTCCACAAATTTATACTGGAAATGTCGGTAGTAATTAACTATACCAAGGAAATTGCGTAACTCAGCCACTATAGTCAGTGTAGGCCAGTTCTCCACCACAGCCACCTTCCTTAGATCCGTCTTGACACCCTTAGATGTCACAATATGGCCTAGATATTCCACCTCTGACTTTGCAAACTCATATTTACTCTTCTTCACATAAAGTTTATTATCACGAAATAATAAAAGAACCTTGTGCAAATGCACCCTATATTCCTCCATAGTCTTGCTAAAAACAAGAATATCATCCAAAAAAATCTCCACAAACTCATGAAGATAATGCTCAAATACCTTTGTCATCAACAGAATAAATGTGGATGGTGCATTCATCAAACCAAAAGGCATAATTGTAAACTCAAAATGTTTGAAGCTTATATTAAATGCCATTTTGGAGATAGATACATCATCCATTACAATCTAATGATATCCACTCCTTAGATCAATCTTGGTAAACATTTATGTTTCACCAAGCTTATCTAAAATATCATCCATATGTGGTATTAGCATCTTATCCTTCACTGTCTTTTTGTTTAAGGCATAGTAGTCAATACGCATTTGCATTGAACCTTCCTTCTTCTTCACAAGCAAGATTGGAGCACCAAACAGAGACTTACTTGGCTGAATAAATCCAAACTCAAGTAACTCTTTGACTTGTCGTTGAACTTCTTGCTCCTCCACATAACTTAACTGAAATAGACGTTAGTAAATTGGCTACGTCCTCGGCTTCAACATAATCTCATGCTCTATACTTCGTAATGGAGGCAACTCATAAGGAAGTTTAGATGGAAAAACATTAGAAAACTCGTTGAGTACATTCTATACTGCTACTTCTCCCCCACACATGTCTTGGTCCCCCAAGTCACGAACAAATAGCAAGTAACTAAAAAATGCATTTCCATTACGATAAGCCTGCTTCAAAGATGTAGTGAAGAGCATAACAATTGGAGGTTGAACTCCCTCTCCAAACCACACATCTTTAATGCCACCATACGCAAGTGAAACATGCTTAATACTCCACTTTATTTCTAGATCCACCTTCACCAACCATGGCATCCCAAGAATGAGATCCACATGATGGATATCTGTGAGATAAAAAGTCTTCACAAGAGTGGTTTTGTCAACCAACACTTCTAGCCTCTCTACACAAGCATCAAAATGTTGAGTAGAGATAATTGCACTTTCCACTGTATATGGAAGAATTCCTTATGTCACTAAGCCATGCTTCATAACAAACTTTGCCAAAACAAGTTGTTATCACTCCCACTATCCAATAAAATTCACATTAGACCGCTATGGAACACGCCCTTTAGCATTAAAGCTGATTCATAAATATCCTCAAGCTCTATTTTGTTCCACACACAGTTCCTTATGTCCATGACAATCATCACGACAATACCAATGTTAGGATCTTATCCCTTACACCCTAAACCAACTAGCTAAAGGGGTGATCACTTGATTGCAAGACCCTTTTTTTATCCTATTATCCTGACCTGGTGCTTAACAATACTAGGATCCTATCCCTTACACCCTAAGCTAACTAACTAAAGGGGTGATTATTTGATTGTAGAGCCCTTTCTTTATCCTATTATCTTGACCTAGTGCTTAACAATCCTTTCCTCGTAAGGGAATGATCATCTACGATCATACTTGCCACCCTCTGGTCACTATGGTCCTTCTCTTAAGGTTTACTAAACCTTGGTTGTCCGGGGCCCGACATATTGGATGCCTAACATATCTAGGGCCCAACATATCGGGTGCCCAACATGTCCAGGCCCGGACATATTCGGGGCCCAATATATCCGGGGCCGGACATATCAGATGCCTGACATGGACATATCCGGGGCCTGACATATTGGGTGCCCGACATGTCCAGGCCCAGACATATCCGGGGCCTATATATTTGGGGTTAGATATATCGAGTGCCTAACATATCTAGGGCCGGACATATCGGGGCCCAGCCCGACATATCCAAGGCTTGAGATATGCCAGATTCACCATATTGAATATTCCTTCAAAATATTTTTGCCCCACTTAGGGTCTACCAAACCTTGGTATTCCCTTTAGATCCACCATGTTGAATATTCCTTTAAAATATTCCTGCCCCACTCATTAGCCACAAGAATCAAACTATGCTTTGATACCAATGTTAGGATTCTATCCTTTACACCTTAAACCAACTGGCTAAAGGGGTGATCACTTGGTTGCAAGGCCTTTTCTTTATCCTATTATCTTGATCTAGTGCCTAACATTTAGTCACTTATATCATGATTTTAAGGGATCCTTTATCCTATGACACCTTGGTTAAAAGTATTTTATAATAGTCATTGCACTAGTAAAAGCACCAACTTCCACCCAACAAATTAAGTAGTCAAAACTAATAATTTATTGCCAATATTCAACTGTGGAAAATGCCTATTATACTAAATACTATTAACTCAAAAAAACAAAAAAAACTACAATTGATTCCATAACATGAAGAGGAGTATTACAAGCTTAGCATTAGTTAAACTATGCATATATTAGGTCATATCTTGTCTCATCTCTAACTAATAAAAAGACCTATACAACTTCTTAAGCATATTATAATGTCCCATATACCCTCCTAAAATGAGAGAGTTATGGTAAGTGTAAAGGAAGCATGGAATGGGATTAAAGGCAATCAACTATAAATGGTTATTCATATCAGTTTTTACAAAATAAAGAAAGTTATCCTTAAGGTAATATTAAAAATATAAACAACAAATTATCAGCAAACAATACAAGATCTTCAAAGCCATCATAAAGCATTCAAATCCATGGCTTAACCTTTAGATTTTCTAAACATCATTCAAAGAAGACAAATCTAACTTCACACCTTATGAACATTGATCATCAAACATAACAATTGCTAATAACATAGAATCTTTGTTTTAAAATCCACTAACATTAGAATAATAAGCTCCTCAAAAATAGAAAAAGAGAGAGGAGGGAAAGGAACTTGAGCTAGAGCATCACTATTAATTATTAAACTCTCAAGGCAATAAATAATCTCAAAGTCATAGATCATAAACCTATTGAGCAATATAGCCAACAAAGTTTTTTGGCTTAAAAAATTCTTTGGCTTTAACAGCAAAGTGATTACAATATAATCCAGGTTTAAAAACCATATAAATATGCATGGAACTTCTTAAAACCCTAAACCATTATAAACATTCCTTTTCTGTTGCAAAATAGTTCAACTTAATTGACTGTAAAGTATAGTCATGTATGTAATGAGATAATATTAGTTAAAGACACTTCTACTCTCTTGCATCCTATCAAGAACTCCCACACCCTGATGGATCGCTCCTGGCAACTAGATTAAGGATATAGTAAAATATGCCTTTTCAATCTAATGGTTGGATACCATATGTATGTATGTTTTTCACATGTGTATGGCCATAATGGCTAAGGGAATAAACATGGGAAATTCTACTGAATAATTTTCTGTAATAAAATTTTCTTTGAATCCTTTCTTACTCCAATCTGGGTCATCTCTCGGTCACTCCAGGTGCCATTCGCATTGATCTCAATAGATGAGCTCAACTGCTCTAGTAAAAGAAATCAAGATTTAAGTGTCCACGGAGGAAGCACATGGGTGGTTACCAGCAAGGATCTCAAAAATTGCTCCATTGCATGGAAATGTAGTTCAACCTAAATTCTTTAAAGGTGGGCCTAACCCAAACCTGGGTGGCAGAAGGTTCGGCACTCTTTTCTTTGTAAAGACTGGCAAAGATTATAAGTCAACACCAAACTTTCTATTGTTATTTGAAAAGGTCGGTATGTGCGATCTTGGCAGAATGGCGTCTCCTCCTCACTTCGTTGTAATTCCACTGCCCGTCTATGGCCACATCTTCCCGATGCTCCATCTCTCCGTGCAGCTCGCCTCCATTGGAAACAAGATCACATTCATCGCCAGCACTAGGACCAAGACCACCACGCTCTCCACCTTCGAATCCAGTCTATCCCAGATCCAAGACCCTCAAACAGTACGTACCAATCTCATCTTTGAGTTTCTCTCCGGCGACGAACTTCTCCAGCAAGGTGGCGAGCAAGGCTTCCGGGCCAGTCTCGACTGGATGGTCAGCCAGATCACTGCCGTGGACGAAGCAATCGAATCCTGTGTTAGCCGTCACGGCCCAGTTTCCTGTGTGATCCTCGACTTCATGGTTTTCTTCCTCAAGAACGCAGCGGCAGACAAGAGAAATGCCACTGTTGCTGCCTTGTGGACTGCTTCCGCCCCATGGATGCTCCTTTCTTTGCAGATCCAAGCTTTGATCGACGGGGGATATGTTCCACTCACGCCTTCCAATGCTCTGTCCGTCGTCTCCGGCCTCACTGGAGTTCCACCCTTGTGCAACTACAAAGACGTTCCGGTGTGCCTGCTCAAGCCGGTGACAGACCAGCAGATTGAGGAGATAGCAGTGATCTCGAAGATGTTTTTGGAGGTGCCATGGCTGCTGGTGAACACGATCCCGGAGCTGGACAGTCGATCGCTGCGCTGCGTCCGTCAGCTCGGAGTTAAGTCAGTCGCAATTGGTCCTCTGCTGCCACTCCCGGTGAAGGACTCTTGTAGAGCTCCAGACGATGTTCCGGTTCTCTCCTGGCTCGACCAGAAGCCACCCCAGTCTGTCGTCTTTATCTGCTTTGGAACGCTGGCGGAGAACACGCTGGAGCAGCTCCAAGAACTTGCGAGTGCGCTGGAGGAGCTGACGAACCAGAGTTTCCTGTGGGTGCTGCGACCGTCGCAGCAATCGTGCCTGAGCGAGGATTTCAAGCGACGAACAGCTGCCAGAGGTAAGATCGTTCCCTGGTGCTCGCAGCTCCAAGTTCTCAGCCACCCTTCCATCGGTGGATTCGTGACGCACTGCGGCTGGAACTCCATCCTTGAGAGCCTGAGCTGTGGCGTCCCAATGCTCGGTTGGCCGTGCCTTGGAGAGCAGAGTCTCAACTCCAAATACTTAGCGGATGTGTGGAAAGCCGGCACCAGAATTGTTCCTTACAATCCCGATGGCAGCAACAGGGTAGTGAACCGGTCCGAGGTATCGAAAGAAATCGCCCTTTTGATGACAGGCGAGGAAGGACAAGAGTTGAGGAAGCGTGCTCGCGCGATTCAGAAGGCGAGTACGCGAGCCATGCAGTCGTCAGTCGATGAACTTCGGCGCTGGATTGCTCAACTGTTCCAGCAGGGAGAAGAAGCTTCAGTGGAAGAACAAGTGTAAGCTTCGTGGCGCAGCTCGAGACAAAACAATGTTGACAATTGAGTCCTAGCCAACTTTTTCGGTAAAAGCCTCGAAACATGTCAGACAACGCATTTCTCTCCTCGAATAAATGTGGTTGGCCAAAGCACACCTACCAAAAAAAGAAGACTGAGGCGATCTCTACCAGCAAAGCACCAGAAAAACGATACCGAGTGAAGGCCAGCTGTTAAGTCGTGAGCCCGATGATCGTCCTCCCATCGCATTCCATGGCTTCTCCACACTTGGTTGTGGTTCCACTGCCGCTCTACGGACACATATCCCCAATGCTTCGATTGTCAGTCCAGAGCTCGCATCACTGGGAAACAAAGTTACCTTCATCGCCAGCGGAAGAACACAGACTGCCACGCTCTCGGTATTCGAGTCGAGCCTCTCCCACATCGATGACGCCGAAACGCCGCGTACCGGGCTTAGCTTTGAGTTCATTCCGATGAAGACGGCGTCGAGCTCGAGCAAGGCGGTGAGGAAGGAATCTGGGCCGTTTTGCGATGGATGAGCGCGCAGCACGGTACCGTAGATCAAATAGTCGAGTCGTCCGTTAGCCGCCACGGCCAGATCTCCTGCGTGATCCTCGACTTCCTGGCTCTCCACCTCAAGGACGTGGCTGACAAGCACAAGGCTTCCGTGGCTTTGTTTTGGACGCCATCTCCGCCTTGGCTACTTCTCTGTCTCCAAGTGAAAGCTTTCGTGGTCGGGGGCTATGCCCCTCTCACGCCTTCCAATGCTCTCTCCACTGTCTCGGGCCTCACCGGAGTTCGAGCTCTGTGTAACTACATGGACGTTCCAACGAGCATGCTGATCAGCAACTTGAAAGGGCTGGCACAGTACCTGATCGAGGTACCATGGGTGATCATGAACACGATCCCGGAGCTGGACTCTCAGTCTCTTGCTTGCATCCGCCAACTCGGAGTGAAGCTGGTCACACTCGGTCCTTCGCTGCCGATGGATGATCCGGTAGCTCCGGATGATCTTCCAATCATCTCCTGGCTGCACGAGAAACTACCCCTCTCGGTCCTTTACATCTGCTTTGGAACGGTGGCAGACCACTCGATGGAGCAGCTCCAAGAACTCGCCAGCTCACTGGAAGAGCTCGTCAGTAACCACCAGAATTTTCCTTCTTGTGGGCTTTGCGTCGATCCCAGCAGCCGAGTTTGAGCGAGGAGTTCCAGCGAAGAACTTCTGCGAGAGGTATGGTCGTTCCTTGGTGCTCGCAGCTCCAGATTCTCAAGCATCCCTCAGTTGGTGGATTCGTCACGCACTGCGGCTGGAACTCCATCCTAGAGAGCTTGAGCTGTGGAGTTCCACTGGTCGGCTGGCCATCTATCGCGGAGCAAAGACTCAATGCAAATGGATGTGTGGACGGTCGGCGCCAGGATCGTCCCTCGCAATCCCGATGCCAGCACCAGGCTTGTCGCTCGATCCGAAATATCCGACGCGATCGCCACGGTGATGATCGCCGAGGAAGGGCGGGAGATGAGGAGCCGCGCTCGCGAGATCCCGAAGGCTGCCGATCGAGCAATGCGATCTTCCCTAGCCGCGGCAAGACGCTGGGCGGAGAATTTCTCACCGTTAGAAGATGCTACCTAGGATTTAGGGTTCTTGGGAATGAGAAGGGCGCCTATAGACGATATTCCCAGGACCGTGACGGCGATCCTCAATCTCCTCCACAGCGGTCGGCCATGGAGCGCGATCGAGCCCGATCTCTCGCCATTCTCGGCCACCACGCCCAGGATCGTAGGTAGGGTCGTGAACAGCCTGAAGGACGCCAAGCTCGCCCTCGCCTTCTTCCGCTGGGCGCCAGCGAGCATTCCAGGGTTCTCCCACACCGCATTCTCCTGGAATTCGCTGCTCCAGGTGCTTGTGCGATGCAAGAAGCATCGCGAGGCGGGCGACCTCTTTCGCTCGGAGCTCCTCACGAGCTGCGAGCCCGATGTGTGCTCCTACAACATCGTCATCTCTGGATTTTGCAATGCTGGGGATCTCCACGCGGCGCTTGAGCTCCTCGAGGAGATGAAGAGCGCCGGGTTCGCTCCAGATGCTTTCACGCACACGCCGATCATCACAGCCATGGCCAATGCCGGTGATTTGGATGGAGCCATGGATCACTTGAGGAGCATGGGATGCGATCCAAACGTGGTGACTTACACAGCTCTCATAGCAGCGTTTGCAAGAGCAAAGAAGCTCGAGGAGGCGATGAAGCTGCTCGAGGAGATGCGAGAGCGTGGCTGCCCTCCAAACTTGGTGACATACAACGTCTTGGTGGATGCTCTCTGCAAGCTTTCCATGGTTGGAGCTGCCCAAGACGTGGTGAAGAAGATGATCGAGGGTGGCTTTGCTCCAAACGTGATGACCTTCAACTCTCTCGTGGATGGATTCTGCAAGAGAGGCAATGTTGACGATGCTCGCAAGCTCCTGGGGATCATGGTGGCCAAGGGAATGAGACCCAACGTCGTGACTTACAGCGCTCTCATCGATGGGCTTTGCAAGTCTCAAAAGTTTCTCGAGGCCAAGGAGGTCCTGGAGGAGATGAAGGCCAGCGGTGTTACTCCCGACGCTTTCACTTACAGTGCCTTGATCCATGGACTGTGCAAGGCTGACAAGATCGAAGAAGCCGAGCAAATGCTCCGACGCATGGCTGGTTCCGGCTGCACTCCCGACGTGGTTGTCTACAGCAGCATCATCCACGCGTTTTGCAAGTCCGGGAAGTTACTCGAGGCACAGAAAACTCTCCAGGAGATGCGAAAGCAGCGGAAATCTCCGGACGTGGTGACTTACAACACAGTGATTGACGGACTTTGCAAGCTAGGAAAGATCGCCGAGGCTCAAGTGATACTGGATCAGATGCAAGAATCCGGGGACGTTCTACCGGACGTGGTGACTTACAGCACGGTCATCAACGGACTTTGCAAATCCGACATGCTTGTCGAGGCACAAAAGTTGCTGGACAGGATGTGTAAAGCTGGCTGCAACCCGGACGTTGTTACTTACACCACCATCATCGACGGGCTTTGCAAGTGTGGAAGATTGGAGGAGGCCGAGTATTTGCTCCAAGGGATGAAGAGAGCTGGCTGTGCTCCAAACGTTGTCACGTACACCACGCTCATCTCCGGCCTGTGCAAAGCTCGCAAAGTGGATGAAGCGGAACGAGTCATGGAGGAGATGAGAAACGCAGGCTGCCCTCCAAACCTGGTGACTTACAACACCATGGTGAATGGTTTGTGTGTGTCGGGACGGATCAAAGAAGCACAGCAGCTAGTCCAGAGGATGAAAGACGGTCGTGCGGAGTGCTCGCCCGACGCGGCCACTTACAGAACCATCGTCAATGCGCTCATGAGCTCCGACTTGGTCCAGGAAGCCGAGCAGCTGCTGGAGCAGATGAAGTCGACCACATCGAGCCAACAGGAACAAGGGTCTCTCACGCTTTTCTAACTGGTGTGTAAGTTCTTTCATTCATAGTCTTTCTTTTTCTCATTTGGTGCTGTTGGCTCTAGCAGGTTCATGCTGATCTTCCCAAGTTCATTGTTTTTGTTGCGAAGTTTATCAACCTCAGGCTTGAATTGATTTCCTTGATTCAACACTTGCGACGGGGACGGTGTTAGATGCTCCAGGTGGGAAGTCTTATCGTTCTGAGATTTGGCTTTCTAAGATTGTTTCAGAGTATCAAAATCGGCTCTATTGAAAAGTTCCTATGCGTCAACACTCACAGATCGATCATTCAAATCAAGATCTCAAGGTAAGAGCTTTCCTCTTTGTCTCATTTTCTTATAAACTACGCAGGTGGTAGTGGAGATTGGAACTAGAACACTATGTTTACAAGCGTACAAAGCTCTGGGATTCCATCCAAAGGATTAAATCCGTGCGCTACGCCTCACATCAACATGATTCCGACAAACAACGTTGTCCAATGCTGCAAGTTCGCGGGCACTGCGAAAGTGCAAAATCCCCGATCATAGACAAGAAACACGATGTCCCAGCCTCCAGCTTCCCGGCCTGGCTCAGCACGCTCAAAACCAGCACGAATATAGCCTTAGCTATCTCGTCCAGCAGCTTCATCTCATCGAAGAGATTCATCACTGCGACCCATCGGCAAATCCACGCCACGAGATTTCTCTCAGGCATTCTTTCGAAGATCTTCTTTGCTTGATCCAAATGCCCGTTCTGGACATACGCTGCTGCGATGGCGGTCCAGCACACGCCCGGGAATCCGTCAAACATCGCCTTGGCCTCGTAGGTCGATTCGAATGATTTTGCAGTCAAAAAGCTAGAACCATTAGTCGAGAAACATGCCTACCGAATACAAGCCCCTCTATCTTTCCCTCTGCCAGCTTGTCTTCTTATATTCAGATCCTGTTAGATTAGAAAACGAAGGCGCGGAGGCTTTAGAAAACATAAATCGCGAACGTTTGGCAGCTTTTCTCCCACCTCCAAATCAAAGAAATATCTTTCTTACTTTATACACCTGAGAGAACACCATTCCGACGATATGTTCTGGCCTTCGTGAGTCAGCGTGAAAAGCAGCTGTTCTGCCTCGGCAACTTTGCCTACAGTGTCCGCCAACCTCACAAGCCTGAATTCAAAGGTAGAAGTTTTTTTTCCTTTTTCTTTAGCGCTTGCCTGTGTCCATGCAAAGAATTCGGCCACCATTTAAAATTCTCATTGATCGTCACGGGCTTAGATATCTCTGACCAAGAAAACTTACCCTCTCAGAAGTAGTCCAAGAATCCGATCGAGTATACTCCTCTCCAGAAGGATTGGTGTTGCGATCGATAATCGAATTTGTCTGGTATCAATCACGGTAGTGGTAGGACTGCGACCGCATTAGAAATATGTGCCGGGGATGCTGATCCCCCTTCGGATGGTTGTGGCGATCTGTCATCGTGCTCCCCGATGCCATGTACTTCTGATTCATTACGACCTACACAGGCTGAGAGAGTCAAACACACACAGCTTGAACGCAGGAATAAGAAGTCGAGATTGCAAGAGGTAGTTTCTTAAAAAGGAGAGCTAATGTTGCGACTCTTGGGTCAGAGAGACAAGCTTTTTCATGGCTATGAATTGCTGCCGGTTGCTAGGCAAAATGATTGGGTACATCGCTGGGTCGACAACGGCCCGTCCCTCTGCCACCCAGTCCAATCCCTGTATTGCAGCAGGTGATGCTCTGCCATAGAATCAACAGTATCACGAAGCGCCACTAGCTCCGAATACGGAACAACACCATCCGGGTGAGATACAACTCTTTCCAGGACTGAAAGGAATGTCTCCTGTGTCCACCTGTTATCAGCGAAAGCCAGAGCCTCATCCTTGGTGAAGTTTCCTATCATCACGTGACCTTGGACGCCAGGCATATGATCAATCCATGACTTGAAGAAGTTCTCGGACGAAAGCAAGACAATGTTTGCTCCACACTCCTGCTTGGAGATCCTGACTACCTGCCGCATCAACTCCTCCAGCTCGCGAGGACCCCAGTATCGAAGAACGTTGGCTTCGTCGATGAAAATCGTTGGGAAGGCACCGATGTAGCCACCAAGTGAAAACCCCACCACGTTCACGGAGTAGGCACTTAAGGCCTGAAACACCATCTCCATCGCATCAGGCCGTTCCTTGCTATACGAGACGGCTGCAGCAGGAGTGGTGACCATGATCACTTGCCGCCAAGTTTAACATCGACTTGAGTTCTCTGTCCCAAAGAGGCAAAGTTCGCAGCAGACATGTTGTAACTCTTCATCAAATCGATGTAGGAAGACACCCCTGAGACAAGTCCCACGCTCTCCCTATGGCGGAACTCGTGAATCGTGGCGGTCTTACCCGAATCCTTGAGACCGAGGATGATCACAAACTTCCGAAGTTGAATTCTTGTAAGAGGATGAACTATCATATAATTTTTAAGTATTAGTTTGTGGAGGAGTGGAATAAAGTTTTGTTATCCACCATGATCTTCACTTTGTCGGCTAGCAAATAGTGGTTCTTGGTAAAGAATCTCTTTATAACTTGCACACAGCCATAGTTCAATGGTGTTCCTAAGCCTTGTTGTTTCCATCTAAGTTTGTTCGAAAAGATCTAGAGTGTTTGTTGGGAGTTTGGAGAGCTTGGCCCAATTTTATAGGATGTCTAGAGAGTGGATAAATTGTTAAAACACAATGGTTTGAGCTTGGAGAAGTTGTTGGACAATATCTCTAATGAGCTGGAGCAGTCAGTGAGGAGTTTGAATGCAAGAAGAGGCATACCACCCTCCTGTGGTGAGCTAGCAAGCGAATCTTGCAGCCAGTTGTGGGAACACAGTGGCCCTAAGCATGGAGGAGTTACTAGAGGACACGTCCTGTGTGTTGAAGCGGCTAAAGAATTATTAAAGAGTCTGTCACTATGGGTGGGGAAATTTTGGAGTTGTTCATGAATCTCAAGTATACTAAAAGTCCTAAGAGAGTTCTCTAATAGGTTGGATTGGAGTGACTGGGAGCTCCTGGTGCAAGAAAGAGCCCACCACCTTCTTGGGCAAGTTGGATTGGAGAATCTTGGTATACATTAAGAACAACTATAGACCAGTGGTGTTCCTAGGCATGTTTGAGAACAATGTAATGTATGAGAGACACAGAAACCACAACTGCAAAGTTAGGACTAAAAAAGATTCACTGGAGAATTTGTGCATGGCATCTCCTTGGTGGTGCAAGTTGGTGGGCAGCACTTCTACTGCAAGCAGGCCATTAGAGGTGCATTTGGTGAGCTAAAGGAGCTCAGGAGCGACAAGAAAAAAAAGAAGAGGAGAACAGCTAAGCCAGGCACGTAAATCAATCTCACGTGGATTAAAACCAACTTGGACTGTTTGCATCCACAACCAAGGCACAAAAGTTGTTGGACAGGATGTGTAATGCAGGGAGGCTGATCTTTTGTTATACTGGAGGAGAGTACATCTGTAAGTTTGCTTGTTTTTCACTTTCTTGTTATGTCTCATGGTATTTTCCCAAGTTCATTGTTTTCATTGCAAAGTTTATCAATCTCAGGTTTGCATCGATTTCCTGATTTCAACACCTGACGGGGACAGTGTTAAATGCTCCAGGTGGGAAGTCTTATTGTATTTGGCAAAAGCTTTGGTTTTCTAGGATTGTATCAGAGTATTCTATTGAGAAGCTCCTATGCGTCAACACTCACTAACTCAAAATCACGGGGCTGTAGTATCAGAGATTTAATGACGATGGGCATCTTTCTCTCAAGGCTCTCCCATCTAACATTTCATTTTTCTTATAAACCATGCAGGACCACCACGGAGGTGACGGTGGCTCTCCAAACTCTATTGGAACTACGTACGCTTCTTACAAGTGTACAAGCAAACTCAAAGCTCTGGGATTCAATCCAAAATCCTTTCCCGGCTGCTCCTTGTTGCTGGCCCTCACATCATCATGATTCCGACGAGCTCCAAACAGCGTTGTCCACTCGAGAAAATCAGGAACAAATGGCATGCTGCAAATAAGTTCGCGAGCGTTGCGGAGGTGACCGGCCCTGCAAAGAAGATCTACCAGACAAGAGTAGTGCTGCTTGCACGGCTCCACTCCAAAATCCCCGATCATGGACAAGAAACACGATCTCCCAGCCTCCAGTTTCCCGGCCTGGCTCAGAGCGCTCAAAACCAGCACGAAGATGGTCTCACCGATCTCGTCCAGCAGCTTCATCGCATCGAAGAGAGTCATCACTTCTCCCAGTCGCGACCCATCGGTAAATCCAGCAAGAAGCGAGCTCCACGCCACAAGATTTCTATCGGGCATTCTATCGAAGATCGTCTTTGCTTGATCCAAATGCCCGTTCTGGGCATACGCTGCTGCGATCGCGGTCCAGCACACGCGATTCCTCTCCGGGAATTCGTCAAACATCGCCTTTGCCTCGTAGATCCTGCCGCTTTGCGAGAGCATTGACACAAATGTGTTCCAGGAAGCCATGTCGTGCTCGGGCATGGCTTGGTGAAAGATCTTCCGGGCCTCCTCCACAAGGCCCATCTTGGCACACGCGGATAGCACCGCGGTAAGCAGCACCAGATCCTTGGCCGGGATGGAATCAAGCAGCCACAATGCCGACTCCAGATCGCCGGTCGCCGCATAACCATCGATCATCGCAGTGGCCGTGACGAGATTGTGCCGCGGCATTCGATCGTAGATTGCCTTGGCCGCGCGGAGATTGGTAGCTCTTCCGCGATCCTGGGAGTTTGAGTAGAGCGCCAGCATCGATCCACAAGAGACGATGTCCCGCTCGCGCATCTCATCGAAGAAGAGACGCTCCGCCTCTTGGATCTTCCCATGCTGCGAGTAAATCGCGAGCATCGCGTTGCAGCACACGAGGCTGTGCTGTGGCAATCGATCGAACAGCGCCCTTGAGTGGCGGAGGCCATCGATCCGGCCGCCAAGAACACCCAGGATGGTGGTGATCGAGAAGGGATCTATGGCCGGCATACTCTCGAAGAGCCTCTCGGCCTCCTCGATATGCCTAAGCCGGGCATACGCGAAAAGCATCGCGTTCCATGTCACAATGTTTGTCTCTGGCAGCCCATCGAAAACTCTTTTTGCTTCTTCAAGCTTGCCAGCCACGGTGTATGCCGTGAGCATTGCGTTCCAGGTGACGAGATTCCTGTGCTCCATGCCCGAGAATATTTCTTTCGCGTACTCTATATGCCCAGATTGGGCATATGCTGTGAGTAGTGTGGTTTCAGAGATTACATCCTTTTCGGGTATCTTGTCCAGAATGGATTTTACATTTTCAAGGTTACCAGCTTGTATGTGTCCAAAGAGATATGTATTCCAAGAAATGAGATTTAAAAGGGGCATCTCTACAAAGAATGACACTACTTTATCAAAATGACAAGATTGGGCATATGCTGAAAGCATGGCATTCCACGTAACGAGGTTCCTTTCGGGCATCTTTTCAAACAAAATTTCAGCGTCTTCAACTTTACTGGCTTGTGCTAATGCCGATAGCATTGCCGTGCAAGATACCACGCTGTGTTGTGGCATCGCTAAGAAGATTCGCTTTGATTTATCAAGGTGACCATTTCTGGCATTTGCAAAGAACATTGTGTTCCACGAGACAGCGTTTCGCTGCTTCATGGAGGTAAATATCTCTTGCGCTCGATCGAGAAAGCCATTATCTGCATACGCGGCAAGGATTGTGTTCCAGGACATAATACTGTGCTCCGGCATCGCGTCAAAGATTTGCCTGGCTTGGTTCAAATCTCCGTTGCGCGAGTAGGCCGAAAGCATCAGCTTCCAGGACGAGCAGTTCTTCCCGGCCAATCCATCAAATACTCGCCGCGCGCTCCTGGCGGTCCCAAATCGCCCATACATCTCGATCAATCTGTTGGAAATCGCAATCGCCTCCTCCTCTTTCTCCTCCATTTCCAAGAGGCCCTGAATTCTTCTGTGGGCGCTCTCGAGCATAGTGAGCGAGCTACAGGATTGGATGAGATGAAGCGCATCGTTCCCGGTCACGAGGAAGAAGAAGCAAACCATGAAAGATTCTTTATTCAGAAGGAATATTCTTTGTCAGGTAGGATAAGAGCCCTACTTCCCAGCACTTTTGAAACTTTGTGCCCAGCGTCTTGCCTCGACTAGGGAAGATCGCATTGCTCGATCGGCAGCCTTCTGGATATCGCGAGCTCGTCTCCTCATCTCGCGCCCTTCTTCGGCGATCATCACAGTGGCGATGGCGTCGGATATTTCGGATTGAGTGACAAACCTGGTGCTGGCATCTGGATTGCGAGAGATGATCCTGGCGCCGACCTTCCACACATCCACCAGGTACTTTGCATTGAGGCTTTGCTCCGCGATAGATGGCCAGCCGACCAGTGGAACTCCACAGCTCAAGCTCTCCAGGATGGAGTTCCAGCCGCAGTGCGTGACGAATCCACCAATCGAGGGATGCTTGAGAATCTGGAGCTGCGAGCACCAAGGAACGACCATACCTCTCGCAGAAGTTCTTCGCTGGAACTCCTCGCTCAAGCTCGGCTGCTGGGATCGACGCAAAGCCCACAGGAAGAAGAGATTTTGGTTGAGTTCTTCCAGTGCGCTGGCGAGTTCCTGGAGCTGCTCCGCGGAGTGCTCCGCCAGCGTTCCAAAGCAGATGTAGAGGACTGAGAGAGGTGGTTTCTCGTGCAGCCAGGAAAGGATTGGAAGATCATCCGGAGCTACCGGATCATCCATTGGCAGCAAAGGACCGAGTGTGACCAGCTTCACTCCGAGTTGGCGGATGCAAGCAAGAGACTGAGAGTCCAGCTCCGGGATCGTGTTCACGATCACCCATGGTGCCTCGATCAGGTACTGTGCCAGCTCTAGCGTCCTTTCAAGTTGCTGATCTCTTGGCTTGAGCAGGGCCGTTGGAACGTCCATATAGTTACACAGAGCTGGAACTCCGGTGAGGCCCGAGACAGTGGAGAGAGCATTGGAAGGCGTGAGAGGTGCATAGCCGCCATCCACGAAAGCTTTTACTTGGAGACAGAGAAGTAGCCAAGGCGGAGATGGCGTCCAAAACAAAGCCACTGAAGCATTGTGCTTGTCAGCCACGTCCCTGAGGTGGAGAGCGAGGAAGTCGAGGATCACGCAGGAGATCTGGCCGTGGCGGCTAACGGACGACTCGACTATTTGATCTACGGTACCGTGCTGCGCGCTCATCCATCGCAAAACGGCCCAGAGTCCTTCCTCACCGCCTTGCTCGAGCTCGACGCTGTCTTCATCGGGAATGAACTCAAAGCTAAGCCCGCTACGCACCGTTTCGGCGTCATCGATGTGGGAGAGGCTCGACTCGAATGCCGAGAGCGTGGCAGCCTGTGTTCTTCCGCTGGCGATGAAGGTAACTTTGTTTCCCAGTGATGCGAGCTGGAGTGACAATCGAAGCATTGGGGATATGTGGCCATAGAGCGGCAGGGGAACCACAACCAAGTGTGGAGAAGCCATGGAAGCTTGCGGATGTTTCTTCGACATGCTTTTGCCGCTGCCCTAGTACTAGGAGAAAAGTGCTGCACGGCTGAGGTGTGATATATGTGGATACAAGCGAGCCATGCAAAACGACAGGGAAAACACGAATCTTTTCTAGACTTGATTTTTAGTGAAGTTTCTTCTTGTTGCAGAGTGATGACTGCATGGCATCAAAGCAACAAGATATACTCTAAATCCCCCTAGAAAGATATAGCCACTTTATCCAAATGACCCCTTTGGGCTGCAAGGATTGCCTCAAGATGGCAACAACACTATGTTCCAAGAGACATGGAGCTAAATATTTCTTGCAGTCGATGAAACTTTGTGTTGGAGCCCATCGTTCCCGCTCTGTGACGAATATTGTCAATTCAAATGTTTGTAAGCCCTCGATTAAAAGGTTTGACTGTGACGGTGCGCCGGCGGAGGCTTCATAGTTTGGAAGGATTCCCACGCGAATCTTTCCGATTAGCGTTGCTATCGACCGAATCGAGCCCGAGACCTCTCACCAGCCAGCGACGCCGACAGCTCTTCTCCGCGTTATATTCGTACTCAGCTACGCACGCAAACAAACAGCGTATGTATACACGTATGGAATGGAAGAAGCGAACAGAAAGAACGCATTTAATGTCAAAGAGACGCCGCCCCAGTAAAAGGTTAAAAGGTCTTCGTTTTTACTAATTTATTTGCGAATATTCGTGCGCATGAAGAGAAAGAACGAGGGCTTAGCTAATGAAAGAAGGAATGATGAACACATTCCAGGCGCTGGCGCTGGCCGGAAGGAGCTAGGTCGATTCGATCGCTAGGGCGCATTCATTGCGCGGCACAGGTTTGTGAAGCCAAATCTCGTGGTATCGTCGCGCTCCAGGCAAGCAGGCGGCTCCATCGGCATGGGATCGCGATGATCTTTGCTTATTTCGATGGAATCCCGAGCGCGGGCACGTATTTCGAGCGCTCCAGGCCGGAATCTCTCCTCTTTTGGGATCGCAATGCGGGTATCCAGCTGCGAGCTCTGGAAATATTGAAAGGCTGGGCAGTGATTCTTTTCTTCCGGGAAGAAGGAAGGGGCGTGCTCGCCGAGCCAAGACAATGGCGTTAGTTAGGTGGATGTAACTGCTGCCTAGTTCCGGAATGCGGCGCGGAACAAGAATCGAGAGCTCTCGTCGTGATCATCCAGGCGCTCGGCTCCAAGCTGGATTGATTATAAGGGGATGGAATCGCCAGAGTTTCAGTTCGACGTTTTCTCCGCGAATGATCATCACTTCTCGCTGCGCGATAGCGTTTCTTTCGTCGATGCCAATGCTGCTAGTGCTGCTGCGGCTTCGAGACGACACTCGCGATCTATGAGGTATGGCTTTCTCGCGACACTGGTTGATAACTTTGGAAAAGCTGATGCTCGTGAGCTGGAGCAGTGCGCCGGTGTATCAACGCCCGTCTGGTGGTTGGGGGGAGGCTTTTCAATACAAAGAGGTGAGCAACGCCGATACGCTCTCACTCTCATCGCTAGTTCCCTCTTCTCTTCTAAAAACTTTTTTCCAGGTCTTTATGCCGGATAAAACAAGAGGGTGGAGCTACATGCTGAAAAGGAGCGATGTTGACACGAGAATTAGCCAGCGAGCGAGCTTAGAGAAGGACGTAAGTAGCGATGGTTTAACAAAGAAGTTCTATTTCACTTACGTGATCCATCAATTGGTGCTTTTAATTCCGCAGGTTCATGAGCTCCAGCTACAGCTTGAGATTGAGAAAACTGTACGGAAGGTGCTGGAGAAGGCCTTAACATCGCCCTGCTGTGAGCCACTATCGTCTGGAGTTTTAAGTCCTCAGGTGAGTGGAGTGGTGCATTAAACTGTACTATATTTCTGTTTTTTCAAACTGGTCCTTTGTCCGCCTGGCAGATCACGGAGCTCATCAAAGAGATTTCAAGTCTCGAGTCAGAAGTGGTTCACTTGGAGAAGCACGTACTCTCACTGTACCGGAAAGTGTTCGACGGCAGAGGGACTCCACAAGATGCCAGCGTTCCAATGCGTCTGCTGTCGTCGAGCGACCATCAACATAACGTCAGCGTCCGACACAGGCCAAGGAAAGCTTATTCTTTCCAGCATAGACGACATGCTTCCCAGGGCTGCCAATCTCTACAAGATGCTGTCTCATATGCGCATTCGAAAACAAGGCATGCGTCGCTCCTTGGCGGGAAGTTCCGCATTGCGGAGGAGCAGGAAAACGTAAGCAATGCGTTTCAAAGCCTTTCTTTACCTTTTGCTCTTTATCTTGGCCAGGAAACTCGGGTGTATTCTTCCGAATTTGATGTTCCGAGTCCGCGGGGTTGGGCCTTGGCGTGTGATCCTCATACGGTAAAAGCCGTTTCGCTGTATCATCTCTGCAATTTCTGGCTTTACGTGTGCAGCCGCTGCAAGACGCAGCACCAGATCGCAACTTAACGGAATTCTATGATTCTCCGAACAAACTGTCGGAACGAATGGTGCGCTGTATGGCTGCCATTTACTGTAAACTAGCTGATCCGCCGCTGCCATCCACTGGAGATGCATTATCTCCACCTTCTTCATCGTCAATGTCGTCAACGGGCACTTCTCGTGATGTATCCAGCGAAGGATGGAGTCCGCTGTCCAAAGAATCAGTGACTTGTTCAACTAGTATGATCGAAGTCCCCTGGATTCGCGTGGACAAGGAGCGTTTGACTTACGCAGCACAGGCCTTGCGGAATTTCAGGTGAGTGGTTTTAATGATGGTGTTTTGTTGCTGCTGGCTGACATACCGGCCGACAGATCAATGGTCGAGCAGCTTGAGAGCGTTCACCCGGGTGAAATGAAGCATGACGAAAAGCTAGCGTTTTGGATAAATATCCATAACGCGCTGGTGATGCACGTACGAGAATCTCTTCTGATTTAACTCACCTGATCAAGATTCTCGCTCCTACTAACGTGCGGACATGACGTCTCTTGCAGGCATACTTGGCATATGGAATCCCTCGCAGTAATCTTAAAAGGGCTTCTCTTTTGCAAAAGGTACATCCACCAGACCATACCAGCTTCTTGCTTAGAAATTGCGTTCGTGTTCCCCATGTTTCAGGCTGCGTATAAAGTAGGTTCATATTCTATAAACGCGTGTACCATAGAGAATTCGATTCTTGGCTGCCGCTCTCAACGTCCAGCACAGGTTCTTGCCATCCCACTTGCAACTTGACAGAAATATAGTCCTTCTGTGCAGTGGCTTCAAACGCTTTTCGGACCCCTCACCAAGTTCAAATCGGAAGAACGTCGAGCTTATGCACTAAACACGCCAGAGCCACTGATCTGTTTTGCGCTGTGCTCCGGAGGACGCTCCGATCCGGCGGTACTTTTCCCGTTTACTTGCGTGTATCTGGCTCACATTCTGTTCCAGGTGCGAGCTTACACTCCAAAGTCTGTCAAGACAGAGCTCGAGTCAGCCAAGAGAGACTTTCTACTCGCAAACATCAGCACCAAAAACAGCAAAGTCCTGGCGCCAAAGCTGGTCGAGGCATATGCGCGCGACGCCGGGCTCTCCTCGAGCAAGCTCCTGGATTGGATCATCCGCAACGCATCTGACAAACAGGCGAGGAACTTTCGGCATGGAAAGTCGACGGGGCAGCGGCAGCGACACCTGGAATGGATCCCTTACGACTTTAACTTCGGCTACGTGTTTGTGAGGGAGCTCGCGACGACGACGAGATAAATGGTTTTCTTCTCCGAGTGAGTTCTTCACAGCATATTTATTGGTTCTAACTCTGTGTATATTAACACCCCAAAGCGAAGTTTACAGCTTGAAAGAAAAAGAGACGCAACACGGGGTGGTATTCACTTTTAAAGAAGCTTCTTCCGCGACAAGAGCGTGAGCCAGCCAAACCATAGGTGCGCGAACGGAAAGCGTGCACACACGACTCTCACAACAGCGTTGCTCAGCTCAGCCACAAAAACCAATGACGACGACGACGACGACTTTTCCTCCCTCGATCGGATTCGACAAGCCGGAAGCTATGTACAGCTTACTAGGAGGCAGCGGAGGTGGGCGGGGACTTATGATGATGGGGCTGTGACATCCTTGGCAGCAGCACCACCAACCAGCCACTTCAAGCTCCGCCTCGCAAATCCAGAGACCGCTGCTCCTCGGCTTGCCGCGGACGACTCGCCGCCGCCACTCCAAAGATTGCCGGAACCAACCGAGACGGACCTCCGCAAAACATCCGGGCTGCGAGCAGCCGGCAACGAGTCGGGCTCGTCGAGTGGAGCAAGCCCGGCAAAGCTGTTTGAGTGGTGGATCACAACCTGAGGAGGAGCAAGTCCCCGCTGGCTCCTGGCTCGCATTTTCTCCCGGATCTCCATCAGCTCCAGGTCGTGCACCGCCATCTTAAACGACTCCGAGTGCCGCGAGAGTGTCCTCACCGCCTGGCCCTGGTCGTGCCGCCGGCTGGCATCCAGCGCCTCGTCGGGCTGGTGATCTTCACGAAGAACCGAGCGCTCGGGATCCGCCGCCACCGCCACCTCCACCTCCACCTCCGCTGCTGCGTCCCGCCGCCCCTCAGCGATGGAGTTGGAGTTTGGATCCCGGCGGAAGGAGCCGACCACTGCCGAGAGAGCGCGCTGCAGGTGCCCGGACACGGCATTTTGGTCGAGGTTGCGGCGGCAGAGCGGGCAAGTGGAGTGGGTCTCGAGCCACATATCGATGCAATCGGCGTGGAAGAGGTGGCCGCAATCGGGGAGGAGGCGGACTTGCTCGTTCTCCTCGAACTGGAGCAGGCACACTGTACACTCGGGGCCGGCCTTCCCCTTCTTGCTGGATTTGATGGACGAGTATCTCAAGATGGGCAGCTTCTCCAGCGATTCGGGATCCAGGCCGCGGTGCCGCTGCTGCTGCTGCTGCTGCTGCTGGCCTTGCTGCTGCTGAGCGTTGGGGCCGGCGTTCCAGCCGGTGGCATTCACCATGTTGCAGCGGCGGATGTAGAGCACGAAGAGGGCCATGAAGAAGAAGGTGGTGACGAGCACCACGACGATGATCGCCATGCTCGCGTTGAATTTGTAGGTGAGATCGCCCGGGTAGAACATCCCGCCGGGGCCGCTGGGTGGGGTCGACGACATTGTAGCAAGCTCTCACTGCTCTCGCGAAATATCGCCCAAATCGATCGATGATGGGAAGGATCTAGATCGAATCGCGGAAAGAAGAAGAAATCCCTCTCGGGC